AATAGAAACAACAAATATAATTAAGATCGAACATTGAAACGTCGAAAAATTCTAGAAATAAAGAAAATGAAAAACCGAAACCAGAAATTAAAAATAAAAAATTTGAAGAAATGAAAAATTTAAAAATCTGAAAACTGTGTGGCGGCACAGTAATAGATTGGTAAGCGGGGAAAGATAAGCTCCTCTGTAGTCTAGTGGTGAGGGCACGCGCCCGGCAAGCGGTAAACGTGTGGTTCGATTCCCACCGGAGAAGTAACATTTTTCTTCCCTTACCTACAAAAGAAAAATGAGAAATGAAAAAGTGGATTTTTTTTAAATCATTCTTATTACATATTTAAAATGAAACCTAGAAAAATTGCAAACTGAAAAATTCGGAAATTGAAAAAGTTCACAATGAAAAAAGAAAAGTTATTAAATCAGAACATTTGCAAAACCAAAAAATTGAAAAAAAAAAGTAAAAACCTAAATGAAAAATTGCAAATGGAAAAAATTGAAGAAAGGAAAAATTGGAAAATCAAAAATTTGAAAAATTTTAAATAGAAAAAAAGGAATTAATATAAAATCGGAACATTGAAAAATCGAAAAATTGTTAAAATGAAGAAAAATTGTAATCAAAAATATGAAGAAATGAAAAATTGAAGAATGGAATAAAGTTTTAAAATACATTAATTGAAAAATGGAATATTTCTGAAAAAAGTGAAATATTTTTGAAATTATTATTATATTAAAAATGGCAAATCAAAAACCTAAGACACAAAAAACTGAAAAATCACGAAACTGAAGAACCTAAAATTGAATAAAAGAAAAATTTAAAAAATTAAGAATTGAAAAATTGTAAAGATCAGAACACTGAAAAACTCAAAAATTGAAAAATCGTAAATCAGAAATTGAAAAATCTATAACAAAGAAAAATTAAAAGCTGAAAATTAGTGAAATTGTGAATCGAAAAATTGTAAAATCTCAAAAATAAAAAATTCAAAAGTTAGACAATCGAAAAATTGCAAACGGAAAAATTGAAGAAACGAAAAATTAGAAAATAAAAAAATTGAAAAATTTTAAATAGAAAAAAAGAAATTAATATAAAATGGGAACATTGAAAAATCGAAAAATTGTTAAAATGAAGAAAAATTGTAAATCGAAAATGTGAAGAAATGAAAAATTGAAGAATGGAATAAATGAAAAAGTTTTAAAATACTTACATTAATTGCAAAATGGAACAGTTCTGAAATAGTAAAGTTGAAAAAGTGAAACATTTTTTAAATTATTATTATCAGATATATAAAATGAAATCTTGAAAAACGGCAAATCAAAAACTGAAGAAACAAAAAACTGAAAAATCAATATGAATATGGGAAAAATTAAAAAATCTAAAAATTGAAAACTTGAAAAATTGTAAAAATCAGAACACTGAAAAACTGAAAAATTTAAAAAGTAAAGAAAATAAAACCAAAACGAAAAATCGCAAATCAAAAATTGAAAAATCTATAACAGGGAAAAATTGAAAGCTGAAAATCAATGAAATTGTCAATCGAAAAATTGGAAAATCTAAAAACTAAAAAATTCAAAATTTACATAATGGAAAAATTGAAAAATTGCAAATCGAAAAATAAAAAAAAATATGAAATCGGACATTGAAAGTCGAAAAATTTGTCGTAGAAAACTAAGGAGTTTGCAGTTAAGCTCCGTCCCCTTGGCTCACGACGAATAAAAAAAATCATCACAATTGAGATTTTGCTTATATTTTGCCATTTTTTATTAAATCAGAACATGACAAATCAGATTGAAGAACATGTCGTAGAATCGAAAAATAAAATGAAAAATCGAAAAACAGCAATTGGAAAATTTGAAAAATGGAAAAATTAAAAAATTTGAAATAGAAACAACAAATATAATTAAAATCGAACATTGAAACGTCGAAAAATTCTAGAAATAAAGAAAATGAAAAACCGAAATCAGAAATTAAAAATAAAAAATTTGAAGAAATGAAAAATTTAAAAATCTGAAAACTGTGTGGCGGCACAGTAATAGATTGGTAAGCGGGGAAAGATAAGCTCCTCTGTAGTCTAGTGGTAAGGGCAGGCGCCCGGCAAGCGGTAAACGTGTGGTTCGATTCCCACCGGAGAAGTAACATTTTTCTTCCCTTACCTACAAAAAAAAATTAGAAATGAAAAAGTGGATTTTTTTTAAATCATTCTTATTACATATTTAAAATGAAACCTAGAAAAATTGTAAACTGAAAAATTCGGAAATTGAAAAATTTCACAATGAAAAAAGAAAAGTTATTAAATCAGAACATTGCAAAACCAAAAAATTGAAAAAAAAAGTAAAAACCTAAATGAAAAATTGCAAATGGAAAAAACTGAAGAGAGGAAAAATTGGAAAATCAAAAATTTGAAAAATTTTAAATAGAAAAAAAGGAATTAATACAAAATCGGAACATTGAAAAATCGAAAAATTGTTAAAATGAAGAAAATTAAAAACCGAGACGAAAAATTGTAATCAAAAATATGAAGAAATGAAAAATTGAAGAATCGAATAAAGTTTTAAAATACATTAATTGAAAAATGGAATATTTCTGAAAAAAGTGAAATATTTTTGAAATTATTATTATATTAAAAATGGCAAAAGTGAAATTGTGAATCGAAAAATTGTAAAATCTCAAAAATAAAAAATTCAAAAGTTAGACAATCGAAAAATTGAAAAAATTTTGAAAAAAAAAATGAAAGTACAATTACAAAATCGATATTTCCTTATACAAAGTTTCCATTTTAAACATGTTTTAAGTTTCATATTGTCAAAAGAAGTCCAAACGTATTAAAACAAAAAGGTAAAATGTAAGCCCGCCCACCCACCCTATCTCAATTGTCATGATTATTTTATATTCGCCGACAACCAAGGGGACGGAGCTTAACTGCAAAATAATTATTTCTTTACAAAAACATGTTTTTGAGAATCGTATTTTTCAGAGAATACAATGTATATTAAGAAAAGAAGACGAAATACAAACCCCGCCCACCCACCCCATTTCAATTGTGATGATTTTTTTTTATTGTTATAAACTTAAAAGAGGTTCAAAATGGTAAATTTTTGTAACAAAATGTGGATTTTGTAGTTAGGCTTCGCCCCCAGGTCTGCCAACGAATGAAAATTTCATTACTAATTTGCTTAAAGCTTAATCTTTGGCTTTAATTTTTTCTTAATATACATAGTATTCTTTGAATAACACGATACCCAAAAAAATGTCTTGCATAGTAGTTTCTTCTAGAGAAATATTAAGAATTTTGCATTTAAATGCCGCTTCTTTGGCTCTCGACGATTAAAAAAAAAAATCATTGATATCAGGGCGGGTATCGGTGGGGTCCAATCTTTGGCTTTATTTTTTTTTTTAATATACATATTATTCTTAAAACAACACGATACTCAAAAACATGTTTTTAATTTGTCGTAGAAAACCAAGGATTTTGCAGTTAAGCTCCGTTCCCTTGGCTCATGACGAATAAAAAAATTCATCACAATTGAGATAGGGTGGGTGGGCGGGGCTACATTTTGCCTGTTTTTGTCTTAATATGTGTATATTAAGAAAATAAAGGCGAAATATAAGCCCCGCCCACCCGCCCAATCTCAATTCTGGTGATTTTTTTTTAAAGAAAACCAAAACGGCGAAATTTAAATTTAAACTGAAGTTACACAACTAACTATCTAATGTTCGAAAAAATAATAACGTTATTATTGTTATTATTATTACTTTAGCTCACTCTATTTTTTGTCAAAAAAATGAATAATAGTAAACAACGGAAAGAAGAAAATTTTAAAATTACCGCCGATATTTTTCAATTTAACTTCCGACCTTGAGCTGTGGATATGTAATTTTGAGTTTTAAAATAACCGAATTTAATCGTGTGTTACAGTTGTGCAACAAAAACCTATGCATTTGATAAGGGCTCTCACTTAATGGTTAATTTAAATCTTTAAATCCCGTTTTCAGCGTAAAAATTTATTGTTGAAACCAAATTTATCACATCGACATTATTCATAAAAAAAAATTGTCAAAAAGCTTCAAATCGTATCAGAGATAGTAAATGACTAAATTCCTACCTGAACATCGATGTTATAACAGTAAAATCCAACTGAAAACACAATAAAACGTTGCACAGTGACCATTTTGAAAAAGATGGTAGACCTGAAGTTAGCTCTCTGTGTCAAAGTTACCACCAACCAAACACAAATAAAATTTTCGTACGAAATACAATAAGTCCGTTTAAATGTGAATAAATCGAATATGTTTGATTCGAATTTCGTTAGTTGGTTTTATCTAATCATTTCGGAAATTTCGGTGTTGAAACCAAATTCACGACGTCGACATAGTTTGTGATAAATGTAGCAAAAAGCTTTAAATTACACAATGCACGATAATTTAACCAAAATCTTACCTGAACCCAGATATTCTATGAAAAAATCCAACCGAAAACACGATAAAACTTTTGCACTGAAACCACTTTGAAAAAGATGATGGACCCGCGAAACTACCTGAAGTTGGTTGGCGCGCTCTGTCAAAGTTGCTACCAACCAAAAATAAATACAATTTTCGTTTTGTAGAATAAAATAAAGACTGTTTAAATGTAAACAACAAGCAAATATAAATTTAAATCGAATATCTGGGGTCATTTTTAACCCTCATTTAATTTTTAAACTTGAACAAATTAATGACAGAAGTGAATTGGCTGAAGTTGGCGTGCTCTGTCAAAGTTACTACCAACCAAAAATAAGTACAATTATCTTTTGTATTAAATAAAATAGGACACTAATAAAATCTGTAAGTAACAAGTAAATAAAAATCTAAATCGAATAACTGTAGTCACTTTTAACTTACTTCCTAATTGTTAAACTTGAAATGTAAACCAGATTTTGTTTATGCAACCAACAATGCACTATATTCATATTTTAAATTCTTTTTCTTTCCACTAAAGCTCCTTCCTGGAACAAATCTTTCCAGTTTTATATTTCTGCGTAACTTATCATTCTTCGTACTCTTTTTCCGACACCGGTACTGATTCAGACGGAATTTCACTATCAAATCGTTTGTCTTTATGCCACTAGTCAGCAACTACTTCAGTTAGAATTCCAAGTATTTGTACTAAACACACATTTAGCTGTCGTAAGTATGCTTTACTACTAAAAATCGTTTTTTCCGTGCATTATACAGGTAGGTTTTATTTTTTATAGCATAGTAAACAAAACAAACCCTAACCTCACTTTTTTTTAGAAATGCCTTTCCAAAATGACCCTCTTATCAAACCGGAATACATCGTGGGATGTTTTAACTGTGCTAACGACCTCGAGCCCTTCTCGTGCACCACCTGTGGCAACTTCCAAACCAACTTCATATCGTACTTACGCCACCACAGCAAAAATCACACCCACGACCTTTCCGATCACCCTCTCAACAAGTGCAAAAAATGCACCTTCGAAACCCACTCGAAAATCGTGTTCCTTAAACACACTTGCAACCCCCGCAATTTTCGCCCGTACTCCCCGGACTACGAAAGCCAGTGGTTCCACTGCACCCAGTGCCCCTCGAAATTCAAGCTAAACCACCTTTTACGCAAACACGTCGCCTCCAAACACCAACCAGACGACGAAATTCAGTGGTTCCAATGCGAACAGTGCACGGCGAAGTTCAAACAGAACCACCTTTTGCGCAAACACGTCATAACTAAACATCTTCCCGAAGACAAAATCAAGTGGCTGCGCTGTGAGCAGTGCACGGCGAAGTTCAAGTTCAAGTCGCACTTGACGAGTCACGTGCGGGCGAAGCACGTCGCCGAGGACAAAATCCGGTGGTTTGAGTGTGAAAAGTGCCCGTTTAGGTCGAAGGAGAGGAGGTTTTTGCAGTATCATATTTCGGAGACGCATCTGGCGGAGAATGAGATTGAGTGGTTTCAGTGTGAGCAGTGCAGTCAGAGGTTTAAGAGGAAGTATAATTTGAAGGTGCATGTGAAGGTTAAGCATGTGCCGGAGGATGAGATTGAGTGGGTGCAATGTGAGCAGTGTCCGGCGGTGTTTAAGCTGAAGAGGTATTTGAAGGAACATGTGGCGTTGAGACATTTGTTGAAAGGGAAGAGGTAGTGGCTCGGAATTAAAGATTTATTTATTTTGGTGTATTTTCTGTACTGTAACGAATAACCTAGTAAATACGTAAAAAAATCGTTGTGTTGGAAAGAAAATTTAAATTTGCCGCCACTATAATACGGTGTCATTGGCTAGGTGGCGCTTTGACAGCTGTCAAATTACATTAATAAAAATTGGTTTTAATACTTTTTACAACCACTAGACGTTGCTCTACTGGTAAAAGACACGTAAAAATTACAAATATTTTGTTCTTTACACCCAGGTTAGTCACTTCTGTTATTTCAAACACACCATAACCTCACTTTTTTTCAGAAGAATGCCCCTAGGAAATGACGTTTCAATAAAAACTGAAACCACCCCTCAAACGTTTAGCTGCTCAAACGACATCGAGGCATTCACGTGTAAAAAGTGCCCCAATTTCCACACTTTCACTGTCGTGAATTTCCGTCAGCACACAACAACTGATGAACCGATTCAGACATGTCAAAAATGCCAATTTGAAACATTTTCAAAGTACCTTTTCCTCATTCACCCGTGTTTTAATCAGCATGTCTTCCAGTGTGACCAATGCCCTTCCAGTTTTAAGTACAAACTTGACTTAAAGCGTCATTTTAAGTCAAGTCATGGTGCCTACTACCAGTGTGACCAGTGCACCTTCAAAGTGACGTGCAAATATCGCCTTAAAAAGCACACTTTAGTGAAACACTTAGCGGATGACGAGATTGAGTGGCTCCACTGTGATTTTTGCGCTTCCAAATTCAAAACGAAAGTCTACTTGATGAAACACATGAAGTGCAGACACCCCAAACCTGAAGAAATCCAGTGGTTCCCCTGTCAGTCGTGTGCGGATCAATTTAGAAGCAAAGTCGTGTTACAGAAGCACATAATAGCCAAACACTTACCACACAACGAAATCCAGTGGTACCAATGCACCCAGTGTTCGTTCAAATTCAAACTTAAGCACCTTTTGAGGAACCACGTCATCGCCATCCATTCCCCGGACTCGCAAATCCGGTGGTTCACCTGTCAACAATGTCTCGCCAAATTTAAATTAAAACGGTACTTAACGGAGCACATTTCCAAAAAACATGTACCCCAAAGTACCCCCCGACAATTTTTTTGTGACCAGTGTCCATCCAGATTTAGTCATAAACGAAGTTTGAAAGACCACATCGAACGAAAACATCTACCGGAAACCGAAATTGAGTGGTTCCAATGTGAACAGTGTCCCTCTCGGTACACACGCAAGCTCCAGCTACAACGTCACGTGATTTCGAAGCATTTGCCTGAAGACCAGATTCAGTGGTTTCAATGTGGCGAGTGCCCGTTTAAATTCAAACATAAGCGGAATTTAAAAGAACACGTGTTGGCTAGACACTCACCCACCGACGAAGTTCAGTGGTTGCAATGTGAACGCTGCAGTTCAAGATTCAAGAACGCGTTACAGCTGCAGAGACACGTGTGCGAGAAGGAAATTCAGTGGTTTAAATGTGAATATTGTGAGGATAGGTTTAAGCGCAAAGCGCATCTTCAGAGGCACGTTTCGAATAAGCATTTGCCTGATGACCAGGTTCAGTGGTTTACTTGTGGGTATTGTGGGGCTAGGTTTAAGGAGCAGAGGACTTTGACTAAACACGTGACGGTGAAGCATTTGGCGGAGGATGAGATTCAGTGGTTTCAGTGTGAGCATTGTCCGTCGAGGTTTAAACAGAGGGATTATTTGCAGACGCACGTCGTGGCGAAGCATTTGCCCGAGAGCGAGATTAAGTGGTTTAAGTGTGAGAAGTGCGCGGCGAGGTTTAAGAGGAATTTTCATTTGCGGAGGCACGTTTTGACGCAGCATTTGTTGAAAAGTCAAAGCGATAAATGAATTTGGATTTTTTGTAACAATTAGAGTTGTAATTTTGCAACGAAAAAATATTTACAACAAATTGTGTGTATTTAAAATAATAATAAAATCGTACAAACTATGTGAGAAAAAAATTTAAATATATTTTTATTATTTTCTAAAATTTAGTTTCACTGACAATAATAATATCATAATTTTCCTGTTGTTTGAAAATGGCCCCTAGATTTTTCAAAATAGTGTTTTTTTTTTTAATTTGCAGCATCTCAATCGGGAAAAATCGTGAAAATGCCGTATTTTTTTTAAATTTAGAGTTCTGAATTTTTTTTCTGAAGATATCAATTTTGGTGTTATTATTTTTCAAAGAACTTGTCTTTTTTCGCGATTCAACTCTAGAACTCTCTAGAATAAGGATTTTACAATTAAGCTCCGCCCCTCAGCTTACGACAAATATATAAATCATCAGAACTGAGATAGGGCGGGTGGGCGGGGCTTATATTTTGCCTTTTTTTTCTTAATAAACATGGCGAACTTTTCCAACATGAAACTTAAAACATGGTTAAAATGGTACATTTTTGCAAGAAAATATAAATTTTGCAATTATGGGGCGGAGCCTAATTGTAAAATCAATATTTCCTTTTACAAATTTTCCATTTTAAACATTGTACTTTAAGTTTCATGTTATGAAAAGATGGCTACGTATATTAAAAAAAAGGCAAAATATAAGCCCCGCCCACCCGCCCTATCTCTATTGTGATGATTTTTTTTATTCGTCGTGAGCCAGAGGGGTGGAGCTTAACTGCAAAATCCTTATTTCTCTACGAGAAATTAAAGATATGTTTTTGAGTATCGTGTTGTTCAAAGAATACTATGTACATTAAGAAAAATAAAGCCAAAGATTAGGCTCCACCCGGACCCGTCCCGATCTCAATACTTAATGTGACGAATTTTTCATTCGTTGTCAGATCGAGGGGCGGGGCTTAATTGCAAGATCCATATTTGTCTAGAAGAATTTACTATTTTAATCATGTTTTAAGTTTCTTGTTCTGGAAAGACGACTACGTATATTAAGAAAAAAGGCAAAATATAAGCCCCGCCCACCCGCCCTGTCTCTATTGTGATGATTTTTTTTATTCGTCGTGAGCCAGGGGGGTGGAGCTTAACTGCAAAATCCTTAATTCTCTACGAGAAACTAAAAATATGTTTTTGAGTACTGTGTTATTAAAAAAATACTATGTATATTAAGAAAAAATTAAAACCAAACATTAAGCCCCACCCATACCTGCCCTGATCTAAGTAGAAATGAAGTTGTCATTCGTTGGCAGACCTAGGGGAGGAGCTTAATTCCAAAATCCATATTTCTTTACAAAAATTTACCATTGTAAACGTGTTTTTTAGTTTATAATAATAAAAAAATCATCACAATAGAGATGGGCTGGGTGGGCGGTGTTAATATTTTCCCTTTTTTCTAAATGTACATACTATTCTGTGAGCAACACTATAGTCAAAAATATGTTTTTAATTTCTTGTAAGGAAATAAGTATTTTACAGTTAAGCTCCTCCCCTTTGGTTCACGGCGAATAAAAAAATCATTACAATTGAGACAGGGCGGGTGGGCGTGCTTACATTTTGTCTTTTTGTTTTAATATGTGTGTAGACTTCTTTTTACAACATGAAACTTAAAACATATTTAAAATGGAAAATTTGTGTAAGGAAATATCAATTTTACAATTAGGCTCCGCCCCATAATTGCAAAATCCATATTTTTTTGCAAATATGTACCATTTTAACCATGTTTTAAGTTTCTTGTTGTGAAAAAATGGCTGTGTATATTAAGAGAAAAGAAGGAAAAACATAAGCCCCACCCACCCGCCCTATCTCTATTGTGATGATTTTTTTTATTCGTCGTGAGCCAGGGGGGTGGAGCTTAACTGCAAAATCCTTATTTCTCTACGAGAAATTAAAAATATGTTTTTGAATATAAGGTTGTTCAAAGAATAGTAAGTAAGTGTATATTAAGAAAAAAGTAAAGCTAAAGATTAAGCCCCACCCATACCTGCCCTGATCTAAGTAGAAATGAAGTTGTCATTCGTTGGCAGACCTAGGGGAGGAGCTTAATTCCAAAATCCATATTTCTTTACAAAAATTTACCATTTTAAACGTGTTTTAAGTGTCTAATAATAAAAAAAATCATCACAATAGAGACAGGGCGGGTGGGCGGGCTTACATTTTGTCTTTTTGTTTTAATGTGTAGGACTTTTTTCTTGAAAGAAAAACGTGTTTAAAATGGAAAATTTGTGTAAGGAAATATCGATTTTGCAATTAGGCTCCGCCCCATAATTACAAAATCCATATTTTCTTGCATTAAGAAAAAAAGGCAAAATATAAACTCCGCCCACCTACACTATTTCAATTTTTTATTCTTAGAAACTTAAAACAGTTTAAAATCGTAAATTTCTGTAAGGAAATATGGTTTCAAAATTTCATTACTATTCAGATTAGGGCAGGTATGGGTGGGACTTAATCTTTGGCTTTAATTTTTTTTTAATATACATGGTAATTTCTTGTACAGAAAGAGCAAGGATTTTGCAGTTAAGCTCCGCCCTCAGGCCAACGACGAATGACAAAAATCATCACAATTGCGATGGGGCGGGTGGGCGGGGCTTATATTTTGTCTTTTTTCTTAATATACGTAGTCGTCTTTTTAGAACAAGAAACGCAGAACATGTTTAAAATGGTAAATTCTTCTAGACAAATATGGATCTTGTAATTAAGCCCCGCCCCTCGATCTGACAACGAATGAAAAATTCATCACAATTGAGATAGGGCGGGTGGGTGGGGCTACATTGTAATCCGACTATAATCTTTTAACATTAAAAATTAAAAATTCGTCAGGTCACTCCGAAAAAGTATTCAAAGAAGCGAGAAAAATCGTTAAAACGCAGTGGTTTCTTTAAATTTGGGGTTTTGAAATTTGTTTCTAAAAATGTTAATCTTCATCTAATTAAAAAAAAAAAAATTGAGATTTGCCGCTTACCTTTGACTGTGGCGATGACTACAGAACGTCATGCGATGCCGACTATAATCCTGTCTGAACAAGGCGGCACAGTCGGCGCCCACTTTGATGCACAGAGAAATTGCCGTAAATGTGAAACTGAACAAGGAACGCGTCGACGTTGCCAACATAATCTTTTAACATTAAATTTCAAAGGTGGCTACACTTTTCTTCAACTATATGCTACTAATAATGAATTTGTGCCTTTTTCTATGCTATCTCTTCAAACAAGACGCCGCAGTTTCTGTAAATTTATAGTTAAAATTTTGACATTTGCCGCTTGCCTTTGACTGTGGCGCTGACTATAACCCTGTTTGGACAAGGCGGCACAATCGGCGGCCACTGATGCACAGAGTATTAAAATCCGTGGGATATTATACATTTTAAATATTCTTTATTTTAAAATACATTATAATATCGCATTCATTCAAGCGTACAAAAATATATTATTAACACATTTACACCATTTTTTTATTTAAATATAATTTACATTATGAGTTGCAATAACAGTACCTATTTGACCAGAATTTCGGCCGTGGGACTTGAAACTTAAGAAACTTCCTTCGAACAATGGATTCGTTGTTTGAACGATTTGCAATCACCTAAGTTTTGTGTCACTTTATTGCTAGCTTGATTATTTGTCATGTTAGTTTAAAAAATATAAAAGTGAGGTATTTGGCGTGTTTACGTAAAAAAAGAAACGTTTAAGTACCTTGCGTCGCCGCCCCACGCCGAAAGTCCGAGCTTGTATACTATTTTAACATAAGTGGAGAAATGGAATCGTCAGACAATTCCACAGCAGACCATCTTGAAGTCTGTTGGCTACAAAATTTAAACTAGCAGCCTCTCGCATCAGACTTTTCGGTAAAACAATAAAAAACATTAAATTAATATCGGATGGACATACAACATACACTTTTATAGTCAATGATAAAGCATAGTTTTAAACTAAACTAATCAACTAAAATGCCCTGAGACATAACATAAATTAACAGTATTATAATATTAGGAAAATACTTAAATTACTGTAACATTATAAGTGAGGTAGATTTAAACGTTTTTTTAATAACTATTTGAACAACTTGGCATTAACACCATTCTTTTTGCTCAAATTGAAAATTAAATATTTCCTCTATCATAATTTTACATTAGTATTATTAACTTTAAGTCTATTGCTTTTAATTTTCGCTTCTGGAATGTACACTGTAACCTAAACGGGTGTTAGCGGTTTAATACTTGGTATTGTCTGAAGGAATGTTGGTGTAGTGTTGCTGATTTATTGTAGCTTCCGAGCACGTCTATAAGGGTGCGCTGTGCCTGTTAATAGCGAAAGAAATAACGCCAACTTCGCCTTTAACCGCGTTTTTAGAAATTCGCGCCGGAGTATTTGAGCATCGTGGATCGAGAAACTGTTGCCAATCAAGTAACGAAACAGGTAACTAAAACAAACCCTAAAACCTATATGTACAGCAAAAAAAAAGATCGTTGTTTTTGTACAATATAAAGGCACACACCACATAGAGTTGTGACTGAATAAGAGGATAATATTTTATAAACAATTTTTGTACATTTTTTTAAACAATGGAATATTCATCTTTGGATATATAAATAATAAATATGCTTTGTTGGTAACGTTAATGAAGAACAGTTAACATTGTAGCCATGTAACATAGAACACTGTAACAATCACGACACCTTCCACACACACACCCACTCTGAATATACTGTACAATAACATTTTACTTACTAAGCTATTTTATATGTAATTGTTGTCAGGTACCAGTTGTATTATGCTAATTAAAATCATAGATTCCATACCACACCAACACGCAAATTTAAACAAGACGGACGCCACTGGGGGCTTCCGCCCCCGACTCGCCCCCGGTGGCGGCGCCCTTGCGGCAAACGACCGCGCAAGGGCCACGCTACGCCGCCACTGGAGACCGAGTCCGGGCTACGAAAACGAACTCACAACACAAGTGGAAAAGAACACCAAATTAAAGCGAACTATGTTGGTGTAGGATCAAACAAGTTACAGATTAATATTGAGCAATTGAGTGTTTCGTAACAGAAATCGTTGCAAAACGGACAACCTATTGCAATTAAAACTGTGGTTGAAAAATACTCGAGCTGTACTTATTGTGGAGGAACTGTCCTTAATAAAACCTGGGTGGGAGTTAGACGGGCGGCGCGCGCACGCTTTGTGAGGTTATGTCGCGCTACGCAAGCGCGCGCTGCGTGAAACGGCGCGCCGCCCGCCCAATTAACTAAAGTGAACGAAGTCAGTCAGAATTATCCTATTATTGTAGGTAGGTAGCGTTAAATTCAACTGTTAGTGTTTAGTTTAGGGATTGGTCATAAATATTTCCTACTTTTTTTGTTATATTGACTAACGGCGGCCGTTTTATCCATTAGGTCTAACATCTTTAAAGCTAGAGTTTTTACAATCTTCGTTTGATTTGATTTTTGAATTTTTTTGCGGGAAATTGCACTGACGATTTGCTCGGTTTGTCATGTCGGGTACTTTGACTACTTTGGAGTTTTCGAAGATGCGGTGCAGGTCGTGGAATTTTGACGTTTTGAGGTTAGAGTTGGAGTCCTCTTCGTAGGGGGAGCAGCAGAGGTCTTGCGGCTTGGGTTTCTTCTCGGCGTAGCCGTTGCACTCGAGGGCGTAGTACTAGAAGCAAAGAGCGAAGTAGAGGACAGTTTAAATGGGGGACACACAAAAAACTAACCAGATTGAGCCAGTCGTGTATGGCTTTATCAAGTGAAGTGTATTGATCAAACTAACTTATTTGTAACATTTGTAACTGTCTCCGATGTACTTTTTTTAGTACATTAATAAAACACGTCAAAGTTTAATGTGCCGCTTATTTCGCATGTTAAGTGAACTACGTGTGCCGCCTCTCGCAAAAATTATACCCGTCAAGGCAGGGGTCTTGAAATGAGATAGCCTTCACCTTATCCTTTCTTTGCGAAGTTTTCCGACCCGCCCGCCAGGAGTCGTAATGAAAAGAAATCTGTAAAAGCTGTGATTTTCAAAATTTTTGAGGATTCGTTTAGATCTCCTAGCAACGACAGTGTTTATCATTTGACACATTTCCTGTGTTGTATTCGCGTGATTTATGCGTGATTTCATAGTGGGATAGTGCTTCTCAAAGTTTTCTTAATTTATGTGTTTACATTGTACATTGTAGAGTGTAATTGCCAAATGTAAGTATATAACTTTGCCTTGACTAGATTATTATACCCAATTTATGTAGAACAAAAATGCAAGACAACAACATGTTACGGATATACGACGAGAGTTAAGCCAATCTTTGGGTTCCACATCCAAATCGGTTTATGGCGCAAATAATAGAGCCGCGAATAACCAAAAACTGGTGGTTTTAAACAACAACCAAATTTATAGCAGAGGGTACACTGGCTTCCATCATTTTGGACCAGACAAAGACTACATACCAGGAACGCAAAAGCCGCATAGATTTGCAGTACCAGCTATTTTGCCTTTCCACGGTAAAAACAAATTGAAAGTCAATACAAAACAAATATTAAGATATTTTTATTCACAGCTGATAGTGAACTTGCTACAGCATCAGTCGAAGCAAACCACATTGATGTGGCAATCACAAGAACGCCTTTCGCTCCGCTAAGAAGTTTCTAGGAGATCAACGTTTGGTTGGTATCGTGAAAGGATTGGCTTCTTTTCAGCGAGAATTTTTTTAAAACTAGATTAGAAACGTAAATCGAAAAGCAGGAGTTTTACATTTGACGCGAAAGCAGATGCCATTGCCATTTGGAAGTATGGTTCAAAATCGTATAAACTTCTGCCAAGAATGTTTATGTTGCTATCTATTAACACTTTGAGGGCAAAACCCTAAATAAAGTTCCAATAGAACCGGGTATCATCAAACCTATATTCGAAGTTCTCAGAAAGCAAGTAAGTCGCAAAATTAACCCTAAGTATGTACTCTCATCTTTGATGAGATGTTCATTCAGCCTCATCTGGACCACTTGCCTTGTGAGGACAGTTGTGGTTTTTGAAGATGACGGTTCAACAAGGATGGAAAAAATTGCAGACCATATTTGCGTACTCAGAGGAATTTTCGGAAGTAGAAGCAACCTGTTGTTTTTGCTTTTTGTAAAAATTCTATGCCTGGCGTAAACACTGCCCATTTTTTTATAAAACGATTATGAAAGGGGCAACCGATTGATTTTGATTTTCGGGAGTGTTTTGCATATCGAAGAACTAAAAACTCAACTTTTTCATTTATTTTTAAGAGAGTCTATCTTTAGATCTATGAAAAAAGTCAGTAATGTAGTATTTGGTAAGGAAGAGCCTAACAAATCAATTCCATTAGAAACAGAAATGCAACAGTTATATTTACATTTTACAGAAAGAAAGTAGAACGTTTGTATAATTTTGGATTTTGCAGGTTATTCATCAGCTTTGTTTTGTTCATACCATAACAAAGTACTGGGAAACATATTTGGTTATCAATTTTGAACATTTAATATTTAAAATGTTATTTTATTTTGCACTATTTTGTTTGACTTTTCCTTACTTTTCTAATTTTCTCTTAAATTATATTTTTAGGATATTATCAATGTATTTATTTATTTATTGTTATTATTGTATTTACATTTACAACTGAATGTTAAGTTTTAAATATACTGTGTCAAATATTTTATCTACTTTTTTTTATACTGTTTGTGTTTTTTATATGTCAGCTTCAAAACGTATTTACACGTTTTGAAACTAACATATAAAATACACAAACCATATTTTTCCCTTCAATTATAAAAAATTCACTTTAAAAATTCGCTTTCAAATTTAGCGCCAGTTTTAGTTCCCGACCCAGCCAGTAGATGCTGGCATTGTGACCAACATAAAAGCATTAGAGATCGTGTTCTATAGAGAGGGTATTCTATGCGTCAAGGTCAAAAACGTCAAATTTAGGTTGGCAGCACAGCTAACAATCGAATTTGTTTCATTATTTCTTTAAAATAACTCGAAGTAATTTCTTCTGTAATTTTTCTCCAGGTGTGCTTTTTTTATTATTATTTTAGGCGTTTATATTTGCTACTCTGAAATCTTGCAGAAGTTTTAAGGTTATGGTGACCATGACAAACCGCTGCACCAATCAAAATTTACCTGTTTACTTCCTCCATAAAAAAATTGAAACAATTCGGAGGACCCCTGGTCTTTTTTTTTAAAGAATGTGAAGAATCTTGAGGACCCTTGTGTCTTCTTTAAAAAATATAAAAGAATCTTAGGGTCTTTGAAGTTTGAAAGAACGTGAAGGACCCTTATTGTGTTCTTTTTTAACAATGAAAAATCTTTGAAGACCCCTAGTAGGTTGTTTTTGAAAAAAAAAGTCTTCCCATAGTCCCTAGTCTTTTAGTTTTTTTTTAATGTGTCTTTCTTCGGGTTTTCTTGTGTTTAAAGAATGTGAAATAACCTTGTGACCCCTTTGTCTTGTTTTTGACAGGAGTTTGAAAATATCTTAGAAGTCCCTTTTTCTTTCGTTTTTGAAAGCTTTAAAAAGTTTTTGGGTTCCGGGATGTCTTTTTTTTAAAGAATGTAAAATAATCTTGGACCCCCTTGTGTTGTTTTCTAAAGAATCTGCATTCGGGGTTTCTTCTGTTTTGTTTTTGAAGAGTTTAAAAAGATCTTCAGGGTCCCTTTTCTTTTGTTTTTGAAAGAGTTTTTAGAAGTCTGGGGGGCCCTGGTATCTTTTCCTTTTAATAATCTTGGAGACTACTGTTTTATTTTTGAAAGAATCTGTCTTCGAGATCCTTTGTGGTTAGTTTTTGAAAAGAGTTTGAAAAGATCTTGGGACCCCTTGTCTTTTGTTTTTGAAAGAATTTTAAAGTTTTTGGGAGTCCTTGGTGTCTTTTTTTTTAAAGAATGTGAAATAATCTTGCTTGTTTTTGAAAGATCTTTCTTCGGGGTCCCTTGTGTTTTGTTTTTGAAAGAGTTTGAAAAGATTTTGGGAGCGCCTTGTCTTTTGTTTTGAAAGAGTTTTAGAAAAGTGTTTTGGGGCCCTTGGTATCTTTTTAAAGAATGTGAAATAATCTTGCGGCCCCTTTGTGTTGTTTCTGAAAAAATCTTTTTCGTAGTCACTTGTGTTTTGTTTTTGAAGAGTTTGAAAAGATTTTGGGAGTCTTTCGTTTTTGAAAAAGTTTTAGAAACGTGTTTGCGGGCCCTTGGTATCTTTTTAAATAATGTCAAATAATCTTAAGGGTCTTTTGTGTTGTTTTTGAAAAGAGTTTGAAAAGATATTGCGAGCCCCTTGTTTTTTGTTTTTGAAAGAGCTTTAAAAGTCTTTAGGGCCCTTGGACTTTTTTTTAAGAATGTGAAATAACCTTGGGGTCCCCTTTTGTTGTTTTTGAAAGAATCTTTCTTCGGGGTTGCTTGTGTTTTATTTTTGAAAAGAGTTTGAAAAGATCTTGGAAGCCCCATGTCTTTTTTTGAATGAGCTTTAAAAAGTCTGGGGGCCTTGGGGTCTCTTTTTAAAGAATCTTTGGGATCCTTTGTGTTTTGCTTTTGAAAAGAGTTTGAAAAGATCTTGGAAGCCTTCTGTTATTAGAAGAGTTTTAGAATTGCGGGCCTTTGGTATCTTTTTAAATAACGTGAAATAATCTTAAGGGACTTTTTGTTTAGTTTTTGAAACAATCTTTTTCCTAGTCCCTTGTGTTTTGGTTTTGAAAAGAGTTTAAAAAGATATTGCAAACCCCTTGTCTTTCCGTTTTTGAATGACCTTTAAAAGTCTTTAGGGCCCGTGGACTTTTTTAAAAGAATGTGAAATAACCTTGGGGTCCCTTTGTGTTGTTTTTGAAATAATCTTTCTTCGGGGTTCCTTGCATTTTGTTTTTGAAAACAGTTTGAAAAGATCTTGGAAGCTCCTTGTCTTTTTTTGAAAGAGCTTTAAAAAGTCTGGGGGCTTTGGTGTCTTTTTTTAAAGAATGTGACATAATCTTGGACTATTGGGTTATTTTTGAAAGAATCTTTGGGATCCTTTGTGTTTTGATTTGGGAAAGAGTTTGAAAAGATCTTGGAAGCCCCTTGTCTTTTGTTTTTGAAAGAGTTTGGGGGCCCTTGGTATCTTTTTAAATAATGTGAAATGATCTGAAGGGTCTTTTTGTGTTGTTTTTGAAAGAATCTTTTTCCTAGTCCCTTATGTTTTATTTTTGAAAAGATATTGGAAGCCCTTTGTCTTTCTGTTTTTGAATAAGCTTTAAAAGTCTTTAGGGCCCTTGGACTTTTTTAAAAGAATGTGAAATAACCTTGGGGTCCCCTTGTGTTGTTTTTGAAAGAATCTTTCTACGGGGTTCCTTGTGTTTTGTTTTTGAAAAGAGTTTGAAAAGATCTTGAAAGCTCCTTGTCTTTTTTGAAAGAGCTTTAAAAAGTCTGGGGGCCTTGGTGTCTTTTTTTAAAGAATGAGACATAATCTTGGAGACTATTGGGTTATTTTTGAAAAAATCTTTGGGATCCTTTGTGTTTTACTTTTGGAAAGAGTTTGAAAAGATCTTGGAAGCCCCTTGTCTTTTGTTTTTGAAAAAGTTTGGGGGCCCTTGGTAACTTTTTAAATAATATGAAATGATCTGAAGGGTATTTTTGTGTTGTTTTTGAAAGAACCTTTTTACTAGTCCCTTATGTTTTATTTTTGAAAAGACATTGGAAGCCCTTTGTCTTTCTGTTTTTGAATGAGCTTTAAAAGTCTTTAGGGCCCTTGGACTTTTTTAAAAGAATGTGAAATACCCTTTGGGTCCCCTTGTGTTGTTTTTGAAAGAATCTTTCTTCGAGGTTCTTTGTGTTTTGTTTTTGAAAACAGTCTGAAAAGATTGGAAGCTCCTTGTCTTTTTTTGAAAGAGCTTTAAAAAGTCTGGAGGCTTTGGTGTCTTTTTTAAAGAATGAGACATAATCTTGGACTATTGGGTTATTTTTGAAAGAATCTTTGGGATCCTTTGTGTTTTGCTTTTGGAAAGAGTTTGAAAAGATCTTGGAAGCCCCTTGTCTTTTGTTTTTGAAAGAGTTTGGGGGCCCTTGGTATCTTTTTAAATAATGTGAAACGATCTGAAGGGTCTTTTTATGTTGTTTTTGAAAGAATCTTTTTCCTAGTCCCTTATGTTTTATTTTTGAAAAGACATTGGAAGCCCTTTGTCTTTCTGTTTTTGAATGAGCTTTAAAAGTCTTTAGGCCCCTTGGACTTTTATAAAGAATGTGAAATAACCTTGGGGTCCCCTTGTGTTGTTTTTGAAAGAGTCTTTCTCCGGGGTTCCTTGTATTTTTTTTTTGAAAAGAATTTGAAAAGATCGTGGAAACCCCTTGTCTTTTTTTGAAAGAGCTTTAAGAAGTCTGGGGGTCTTGGTGCATTTTTTTAAGAATGTCACATAATCTTAATCTTGTTCTTTTTGAAAGAATATTTCTTCGGTGTTCTTTCTACTTTGTTTTTGGAAGAGTTAAGAAGTTTTTGAGGGGCCTGAGTATTTTTTTTTTTTTAAGAATGTGAAATGATCTTGGGGTCCCCTTGTGTTATTTTTTAAAGAATCTCTATTCGGGGTCTCTTTTGTATAGTTTTTGAAGAGTTTTAATAGTCTTGGTGTGTTTTTTTGAAGACTGTGAAATAATCTTGGAGACCATTGGGTTATTTTTGAAAGAATCTTTGGGATCCTTTGTGTTGTTTTTGAAAAAATCTTTCTTCGGGGTTCCTTGTGTTTTGTTTTTGAAAACAGTTTGAAAAGATCTTGGAAGCTCCTTGTCTTTTTTTGAAAGAACTTTAAAAAGTCTGGGGGCTTTGGTGTCTTTTTTTAAAGAATGTGACATAATCTTGGACTATTGGGTTATTTTTGAAAGAATCTTTGGCATCCTTTGTGTTTTGATTTTGAAAAGAGTTTGAAAAGATCTTGGAAGCCTCTTGTCCTTTGTTTTTGAAAAAGTTTAAAAGTCTTTGGGGACCCTTGGTGTATTTTTTAAAGAATGTGAAATAATCTCGTTTTGCTCTTCAAAAAATCTTCTAACATAGTCCTTTGTGTTTTGTTTTTGAAAAGATTTTGTGGGAGCCCGCAATCTTCTGTTTTTGAAAGAGTTTCAAATTTTTTGGGGTCTTTTGCTTTTGAAAGAGTTTGAGAGAATCTTAGAGGATTCTAATGTATTTTTTAAAGACTAGGAACGAATGGGCGGCGCATTTGGAAGAATCTTGAAGCTTAAAAATCTAGATAAAATTTTAGTTTTGTCATATTTTCCCACGTTTTCCTAAAGAATTCCGACTTGGTCTGCAAATCTACTTACAAAGATCCGAAGATTACTTTTTCTCAGTATTTTATCTTAGTTTTCCAAACGATGTTCTCAGGACCTCCAAACCTAACCTTACTTTTTTAAAAATTGACAATATATTGTTTTAACCAATTACGATGCGATTATTAGTATCAGACCACTAAATCGAGTTCGTTTAGCGAGCGGCAAAGCACACATCTCAGGTAAGCGGCACCGAAGTTATCACAACAGTGAAATTCTATTCATTAATGAAATAATCATGTATGGAGTATCTGCACCTTAGAAGGACCTAAACGTTTCGTGCGTTCTAAATTTCCAGTCGTGAAAATCAACAATCATTAATACCAACTTAAAAAAAAACCTCAACACCTACTCTAATCGAAACCACGCCCTCATCAACCAAAAAAAACCACAACAACGTACCAAATTACAACAAAACAACAACCAATCCAAACAACGCCTGCACTACTCATCAACAAAAAAAGAAAAACTTTCTTACTCGAGGATTTTCAGTGATGTGAACAATGCCGTTTGCAATATGACCATTAATGTAAGGCTTGGCCGATCCGTTTATGTGACCATTGGGAAATCCATCACTCCCCTGATGTAAAATAAAAATGTGAAAGCAAACGATGAGCGAACTAAAGTACTAAGCCACACAACAACGCCGAAGTCTGAACGTACCTTGGTGTCCAGGTGGGCCGGCGTGTCCGGGGGGATGTGGTTGCTGCACTCGTCCCCCACCAGGTGCTCGATCTCGTGCATGGTCGCCGAGCACGAGTGCTCCAGGCGTACCTGAACGGAGCTACCTTCGGAGGCGTACTGGGCTACTGCTGGGTAGTAGTTGTTGGAGGCGGCCATGCGGGCCCGGGAGAAGGCCCGGGTTTTTAGGCAGCGTTTGCGGACCAGGATGGTGCAGCTGATGCAGAATACCAGGCACAGGAGGGATATTGTCACGCCCATTATGATACCTGGGGGAAGGAAAATGTAAGTGGGATATACACGTATATGTAAATCGAGCCGTCATTTTGACGTCCTTTCGTAAAACAATTTATTTTTTACTTTTACATCACCCCACCTATCCTGCATCCAAATCAAGGATACAAATTAAATAACAATTTTAATATTTTTCGAAGTTTCCAGTTCTCTTGACCAATCACAAGAAAGCATTTCAGAGCCAAATTCAAACTGGGGTAAATTCATCTTGTGCATTTACGTGGGTTCACACTATGTAATTTTTTATTGTAACCGATATTTGGGTTCTTAAAGGTTCTTCAGTTTTTCGATTATTTTAATTTTTCAACAAAAAGAACAAATTTATTTATCTGAACTATGGAAAAATCGAAAAAATGAAGGAAATCCAAAAATCGAAAAGCCAAAAACTTAAAAATCGAAAAATTGAATAATGGAAAAATCTAAAAATCGAAAAACCAACAATTTAAAAATAGATACACTGGAAAATTGAAATATAGAAAAATCTTCTTCAAACAACGAAACATTTAAATATCGAAAAAACGGAGAAAAAAAATGAAAAATCGGCATATCAAAAATTTTAAAATCGAAACATCGAAAAATTGAGACATAGAAAAACCGAAAAATCGAGAAACTGAAAAGTGGAAAAATTGGAAAACCTACAAACAGAACAATTGAAAGATCTACAAACTGAAAAAGGAAACATTTGAAAAATCTAAAAACGGAAATTGTGAATCGAAAAATCGAAACATCTACAAATTGAAAAATGTGAAAATCGGAAAATAGCAAACTTGTACAATAAATCGAAAAATCGAGAAACTGAAAAATCGAAAAATCCACAAGTTAAAAAAAGGGAACATCGAAGAATCAAAAACCTAAAAAATGAAAAAGAAAATGAAAAACCGGAAAATCAAAAATTTTAACACCGAAACATCGAAAACTAGAGAAATCGAGAAATGGAAAAATAAAAAAACTGAAAAGTTGAAAAATAAAAAAATCTACAAACTGAAAAATTGAAAAATCTACAAATTGAAAACAAGAAAAAACTGAAAATCGAAAAATTGAAATTGTCATACAAATTCAAAACCTGAAAAACCGAGAAGTGGGGAAAGAATATCTAAAAATGGGAAAATCGCAAAATTGAGAAATTAAAAATCGAAAAATCAAGAAACTGAAAAATCAAAAATTTTATAAATCGAAGTTGTAAAACCTAAAAATTCAAAAATGGAAAAATCGAGAAAGAAAATGAAAATTCGAATACCGAAAAATCAATAAAATTAAATTAACATAGAAAAACTGAAATCTTTAAAAAACGAGGCATTGAAATTTCGAAAAATGGAGAAAGAAAATGAAAAATCGAAAAATCTACAAATTGAAAAATGTGAAAATCGGAAAATAGAAAACTTGTACAATAAATCGAGAAACTGAAAAATCGAAAAATCCACAAGTTAAAAAAAGCGAACATCGAAGAATCAAAAACCTAAAAAATGAAAAAGAAAATGAAAAATCGGAAAATCAAAAATTTTAACACCGAAACATCGAAAACTAGAGAAATCGAGAAATGGAAAAATCAAAAAACTGAAAAGTTGAAAAATAAAAAATCTACAAACTGAAAAATTGAAAAATCTACAAATTGAAAATAAGGAAAATCTGAAAATCTAAAAATTGAAATTGTCATACAAATTAAAAACCTGAAAAACCGAGAAGTGGAGAAAGAATATCCAAAAATGGGAAAATCGCAAAATTGAGAAATTAAAAATCGAAAAATCAAGAAACTGAAAAATCAAAAATTTTATAAACCGAAGTTGTAAAACCTAAAAATTCAAAAATGGACAAATCGAGAAAGAAAATGAAAATTCGAATACTGAAAAATCAATAAAAGTAAATTCCAATAGAAAAACTGAAATCTTTAAAAAACGAGGCATTGAAATTTCGAAAAATGGAGAAAGAAAATGAAAAATCGGAAAATCTACAAACAGAACAATTGAAAGATCTACAAACTGAGAAAGGAAAAATTTGAATCTAATAATTGAAAAATGTGAAAATCGGAAAATAGAAAACTTGTACAATAAATCGAAAAATCGAGAAACTGAAAAATCGAAAAATCCACAAGTTAAAAAAAGGGAACATCGAAGAATCAAAAACCTAAAAAATGAAAAAGAAAATGAAAAATCGGAAAATCAAAAATTTTAACATCGGAACATCGAAAACTCTGAGAAATCGAGAAATGGAAAAATAAAAAAACTGAAAAGTTGAAAAATAAAAAAATCTACAAACTGAAAAATTGAAAAATCTACAAATTGAAAACAAGGAAAATCGAAAAATCGAAAAATTGAAATTGTCATACAAATTCAAAACCTGAAAAACCGAGAAGTGAGGAAAGAATATCCAAAAATGGGAAAATCGCAAAATTGAGAAATTAAAAATCGAAAAATCAAGAAAATGAAAAATCAAAAATTTTATAAACCGAAGTTGTAAAACCTAAAAATTCAAAAATGGACAAATCGAGAAAGAAAATGAAAATTCGAATACTGAAAAATCAATAAAATTAAATTACAATTGAAAAACTGAAATCTTTAAAAAACGAGGCATTGAAATTTCGAAAAATGGAGAAAGAAAATGAAAAATCGGAAAATCTACAAATTGAAAAATGTGAAAATCGGAAAATAGAAAACTTGTACAATAAATCGAAAAATCGAGAAACTGAAAAATCGAAAAATCCACAAGTTAAAAAAAGGGAACATCGAAGAATCAAAAACCTAAAAAATGAAAAATCGGAAAATCAAAAATTTTAACACCGAAACATCGAAAACTAGAGAAATCGAGAAATGGAAAAATAAAAAAACTGAAAAGTTGAAAAATAAAAAAATCTACAAACTGAAAAATTGAAAAATCTACAAATTGAAAACAAGGAAAATCTGAAAATCGAAAAATTGAAATTGTCATACAAATTCAAAACCTGAAAAACCGAGAAGTGGAGAAAGAATATCCAAAAATGGGAAAATCGCAAAATTGAGAAATTAAAAATCGAAAAATCAAGAAACTGAAAAATCAAAAATTTTATAAACCGAAGTTGTAAAATCAAAAATGGACAAATCGAGAAAGAAAATGAAAATTCGAATACTGAAAAATCAATAAAATTAAATTACAATAGAAAAACTGGATCTTTAAAAAACGAGGCATTGAAATTGCGAAAAATGGAGAAAGAAAATGAAAAATCGGAAAATCAAAAATTTTAAAACCGAAACCGAAACATCGACAACTTGGGAAATTGAGAAGTGGAAAAATCCGAACATTGAAAAATCTAAAAATTTGAAAAATCTAAAAACGGAAAATAGAAAACTTGTAAAATAAATCGAAAAATCGAGAAACTGAAAAATCGAAAAATCCACAAGTTAAAAAAAGGGAACATCGAAGAATCAAAAACCTAAAAAATGAAAAAGAAAATGAAAAATCGGAAAATCAAAAATTTTAACACCGAAACATCGAAAACTAGAGAAATCGAGAAATGGAACAATAAAAAAACTGAAAAGTTGAAAAATAAAAAAATCTACAAATTGAAAACAAGGAAAATCTGAAAATCGAAAAATTGAAATTGTCATACAAATTCAAAACCTGAAAAACCGAGAAGTGTGGAAAGAATATCCAAAAATAGGAAAATCGCAAAGTTGAGAAATTAAAAATCGAAAAATCAAGAAACTGAAAAATCAAAAATTTTATAAACCGAAGTTGTAAAACCTAAAAATTCAAAAATGGACAAATCGAGAAAGAAAATGAAAATTCGAATACTGAAAAATCAATAAAATTAAATTACAATAGAAAAACTGAAATCTTTAAAAAACGAGGCATTGAAATTTCGAAAAATGGAGAAAGAAAATGAAAAATCGGAAAATCTACAAATTGAAAAATGTGAAAATCGGAAAATAGAAAACTTGTACAATAAATCGAAAAATCGAGAAACTGAAAAATCGAAAAATCCACAAGTTAAAAAAAGGGAACATCGAAGAATCAAAAACCTAAAAAATGAAAAATCGGAAAATCAAAAATTTTAACACCGAAACATCGAAAACTAGAGAAATCGAGAAATGGAAAAATAAAAAAACTGAAAAGTTGAAAAATAAAAAAATCTACAAACTGAAAAATTGAAAAATCTACAAATTGAAAACAAGGAAAATCTGAAAATCGAAAAATTGAAATTGTCATACAAATTCAAAACCTGAAAAACCGAGAAGTGGAGAAAGAATATCCAAAAATGGGAAAATCGCAAAATTGAGAAATTAAAAATCGAAAAATCAAGAAACTGAAAAATCAAAAATTTTATAAACCGAAGTTGTAAAATCAAAAATGGACAAATCGAGAAAGAAAATGAAAATTCGAATACTGAAAAATCAATAAAATTAAATTACAATAGAAAAACTGGATCTTTAAAAAACGAGGCATTGAAATTGCGAAAAATGGAGAAAGAAAATGAAAAATCGGAAAATCAAAAATTTTAAAACCGAAACCGAAACATCGACAACTTGGGAAATTGAGAAGTGGAAAAATCCGAACATTGAAAAATCTAAAAATTTGAAAAATCTAAAAACGGAAAATAGAAAACTTGTAAAATAAATCGAAAAATCGAGAAACTGAAAAATCGAAAAATCCACAAGTTAAAAAAAGGGAACATCGAAGAATCAAAAACCTAAAAAATGAAAAAGAAAATGAAAAATCGGAAAATCAAAAATTTTAACACCGAAACATCGAAAACTAGAGAAATCGAGAAATGGAAAAATCAAAAAACTGAAAAGTTGAAAAATAAAAAAATCTACAAACTGAAAAATTGAAAAATCTACAAATTGAAAACAAGGAAAATCTGAAAATCGGAAAATTGAAATTGTCATACAAATTCAAAACCTGAAAAACCGAGAAGTGAGGAAAGAATATCCAAAAATGGGAAAATCGCAAAATTGAGAAATTAAAAATCGAAAAATCAAGAAACTGAAAAATCAAAAATTTTATAAACCGAAGTTGTAAAACCTAAAAATTCAAAAATGGAGAAATCGAGAAAGAAAATGAAAATTCGAATACTGAAAAATCAATAAAAGTAAATTACAATAGAAAAACTGAATCTTTAAAAAACGAGGCATTGAAATTGCGAAAAATGTAGAAAGAAAATGAAAAATCGGAAAATCAAAAATTTTAAAACCGAAACCGAAACATCGACAACTTGGGAAATTGAGAAATGGAAAAATCCGAACATTGAAAAATCTAAAAATTTGAAAAATCTAAAAACGGAAAATAGAAAACTTGTAAAATAAATGGAAAAATCGAGAAACTGAAAAATCGAAAAATCCACAAGTTAAGAAAAGGGAACATCGAAGAATCAAAAACCTAAAAAATGAAAAAGAAAATGAAAAATCGGAAAATCAAAAATTTTAACACCGAAACATCGAAAACTAGAGAAATCGAGAAATGGAAAAATCAAAAAACTGAAAGTTTGAAAAATAAAAAAATCTACAAACTGAAAAATCTACAAATTGACAACAAGGAAAATCTGAAAATCGAAAAATTGAAATTGTCATACAAATTCAAAACCTGAAAAACCGAGAAGTGGAGAACGAATATCCAAAAATGGGAAAATCGCAAAATTGGGAAATTAAAAATCGAAAAATCAAGAAACTGAAAAATCTAAAATTTTATAAACCGAAGTTGTAAAACCTAAAAATTCAAAAATGGACAAATTGAGAAAGAAAATGAAAATTCGAATACTGAAAAATCAATAAAATTAAATTACAATAAAAAAACTGAAATCTGTAAAAAACGAGGCATTGAAATTTCGAAAAATGGAGAAAGAAAATGAAAAATCGGAAAATGAAAAATTTTAAAACCGAAACCGAAACATCGACAACTTGGGAAATTGAGAAATGGAAAAATCCGAGCATTGAAAAATCTAAAAATTGAGAAATTAAAAATCGACAAACTAAAAACTCTACAAACTGAAAAATTGAAAAATCTACAAATTGAAAAAAGAAAAACCAGAAAAATCTAAAACTGAAATTGTCAAATCGAAAAATCTGCAAATTCAAAAATGGAAAAATCGAGAAGTGGAATATTAAAAATGGGAAAATCACAAAATCAAAAATTTAAAAAGCGAAAAATGGAAATATCGAAAAATTAAAAATTCTATAAATCGAAGTTGTAAATCTAAAAAGTTAGAATTGAAAAATCTTCAAATTCAAAAATGGAAAATTTGAAAAATAAAATGAAAATTCGAAATCAGAAAAATTTATAAAATGAAATTAAATAAGAAAAGTCTTACTAAGAGAAAGATAATTAAAAATCGGAAAATGGAAAAACTGAAAATTTACAAATTGAAAAACTTAAAAACCGAAAAAATGGAGAAATAAAATGAAAAATCGGAAAAACAAAAAATTTAAAACCGAACCATCGCAAAATTGAGAAATTAAAAATCGAAAAATCAAGAAACTGAAAAATCAAAAATTTTATAAACCGAAGTTGTAAAACCTAAAAATTCAAAAATGGCCAAATCGAGGAAGAAAATGAAAATTCGAATACTGAAAAATCAATAAAATTAAATTACAATAGAAAAACTGAATCTTTAAAAAACGAGGCATTGAAATTGCGAAAAATGGAGAAAGAAAATGAAAAATCGGAAAATCAAAAATTTTAAAACCGAAACCGAAACATCGCCAATTTGAGAAATTGAGAAATTAAAAATCGAGAAACTAAAAAGTCTACAAACTGAAAAATTGAAAAATCTACAAATTGAAAAAAGAAAAACCAGAAAAATCTAAAACTGAAATTGTCAAATCGAAAAATCTGCAAATTCAAAAATGGAAAAATCGAGAAGTGGAATATTAAAAATGGGAAAATCTCAAAAGCAAAAATTTAAAAACCGAAAAATGGAAATATCGAAAAATCAAAAATTCTTTAAATCGAAGTTGTAAAATCTAAAAAGTTAGAATAGAAAAATCTTCAAATTCAAAAATGGAAAATTTGAAAAATAAAATGAAAATTCGAAATCAGAAAAATTTATAAAATGAAATTAAATAAGAAAAGTCTTACTAAGAGAAAGATAATTAAAAATCGGAAAATGGAAAAACTGAAAATTTACAAATTGAAAAACTTAAAAACCGAAAAAATGGAGAAATAAAATGAAAAATCGGAAAAACAAAAAATTTAAAACCGAACCATCGCAAAATTGAGAAATTAAAAAACCGAAAAACCTGAAATTTGAAAAGTTCCAAGATCGAGAAATGAAAAAAAAGGAAAAATAGGAAAATCGAAAAATCTAAAACCGAACCATCGAAAACTTTTGAAATTAAGAAATTGAAATAATCGAAACCTTTGAAAAGTCGAAAAATCGGGAAACTAAAAGATTCAAAAATCAAAAAATCTACAAGCTGAGAAATTGAAAAATCTACAAACTGAAAAAAGAAAAATCTGAAAAATCTAAAAACTGAAATTGTCAAATCAAAAATTCAGAAATTAAAAACCGAGAAATTGAGAAAAAATATTAAAAATGGGAAAATCCCAAAATCAAAAATTTAAAAGCCGAAAAAGGGGGAAATTGAAAAATAGAAATATAGGAAAATTGAGAAATTAAAATCGAAAAATCGATAAAATGAAACTAAAAAATTCTACAATTCGAAGTAGTAAAATCAAAAAATTCAGAAATTAAAAGAAAAATCGATAAATCCAGAAAAAGAAAAACAGAAAAATTTAAAAATCGCAAAGTTACAAAATCGAAAAATCAAAAATTTCACAACCGAAATATTGAAAAATCGAGAAATTAGAAATCGAGAAGTTGAAAAATCCGAAAATTTACATATTGAAAAATGAAACAATCGAAAAATCTCAAAAATCGAAACAATAGAAAATTGAAAAATTGATAAATAGGAAATACAGACATCGAAAAACCAAGAACCTGAAAAATTAAAAAAAATTACAAATTGAAAAAATCGAAAATTCAAAAAATTAGAGTTGTAAAAGTGAAAAATTTGGAAATTAAAAATTGACAAATTCAAAAACCGAAAAACCTGAAAATTGAAAAGTTCAAAGATCGAAAAATGGGGAAAGAAAAGAAAGAATGGGAAAATTGAAAAATCTACAAATTGAAAAAAAGAAAAATTTGAAAAATATAAAAACTGAGATTGTTAAATCGAAAAATTCAGAAAATAAAAGTCGAGAAAGAATATTAAAATCGCAAAATCAAAAATTCTATAGATCGAAGTAGTATGACGTAAAATTTCAAAAATGGAAAATTTTAGAAAGAAAATGAAAATTCGAAAATCGAAAAATCAATAAAATTAAGTTAAAATAAAAAAAATGAACAATCTACGAAATGAAAAAAGGAAAAATCGAAAATTTTGAAAATCAGAGTTGAAAAATCGGAAAATTCGGAAATTAAAAAACCGAAAAACCTAAAAATTCAAAAGTTCAAAGATCGAAAAATGGGGAAAGAAAATAAAGAATAGGAAAATCGAAAAATCTACAACTTGAAAAAAAGAAAAATTTGAAAAATCTAAAAACTGAGATTGTTAATCGCAAAATTCAGAAAATAAAAGTCGAGAAAAAATATTAAAATCGCAAAATCAAAAATTCTATAAATCGAAGTAGTAAGACGTAAAATTTCAAAAATGGAAAAGTGGAAAATTTTAGAAAGAAAATGAAAATTCGAAAATCGAAAAATCAATAAAATTAAGTTAAAATAGAAAAATTGAACAATTTACGAAATGAAAAAATGAAAAATCGAAAATTTTGAAAATCAGAGTTGAAAAATCGGAAAGTTCGGAAATTAAAAAACCGAAAAACTTAAAAATCGGAAAATAACAAATTTTAAATCGGGAAACCGAAAAGTTGAGAAATCCAAAAATTTGCAAACAGAAAAACTAAAAAATCTACAAATTTAAAAAAAGAAAAATTTGAAAAATCTAAAAACTGAGATTGTCAAATCGAGAAAGAATATTAAAAATGGGAAGATCGCAAAATAAAATTTAAAAACCGAAAAATCGAACAATCGAGAAACTGAAAAACCAAAATTCCATAAATCCAAGTAGTAAAATTTAAAAATTCAGAAAGAAAATGTAAATTCGAAAACCGAGAAATTGAAAAATCTACGGATTGAGAACAGCAAACATCGAACAATTTAAAAACCCAAAAAAGAGAGTAAAAAAAGGGAAATCGGAAAATGTATAAATTGAAAAATCGAGAAATTTAATAATCAAAAAAATGATAAATTAGAAATTGAGAAAGCGAAAAATCGGGAGAAACATTGAAAAATAAAAAAAATGAGAAATAAAAAATCGACAAATCAAAAAAATCAAGAACCTGAAAAATCGTCAAATCGAAAAATCAAGAACCTGAAAAAAGAAAAATCGAAAAATCTAAGCATCAAAGTCGTAAAAACGAAAAATTCGGAAATTAAATAACCGAAAAATCTAAAAATGAAAAATGGAGAACGAAAAGGAAAAACAGGAGAATCGAAAAAACCAAAGATTTAAAAATCGGAACATTGGGAAATCAAAAACTGAAAAATTGGAACATTTAAACTTTCAACAACAAAAAACGAAAAACTGACAAGCGAAAAATTGAGAAACTGAAAAACTGACAAGCGAAAAAAAACTGTACCTAAATTTTGATTGTAGTGGACATCTTCTGACGGTTCTGGTTGTTGTTCAGTAGTTTTGATCTCGCGAGTGTTGATTTGGATTGGATACACGGGGTTCCCCAGCCCCACTTCCGAGATGGCCCTGACGTAAACCATGTACCATGTATCCGGTTGTAGCCCAACCAGGGGCGTCGAAAGCGTCTGGTCGTCAGTGGCGCCAGTCCAACACCTCTGCGAAAACAACGAACCGTGTATATCAAGTGTCAGTGTCAAGTGTCACTATCGTGCCCGGCACAATCGTACCTTCTCCGCTTCCACCGCCGCCGACACCGACTTGTTGAACCACTTGTCCAAAGGCCAGTCGGCGTTCGGGGTGTACAAGACCAAGTACCCCGTCAACCTCCCGTTCTTGTGCAGAGGCGCTTGCCACCGCAGACAAACCGTGGTCTCGTTCACAATCGCATAATTCAAGTTTAGAACTTTTGAAGGCACTGAAACCGAACGATTAGCCCCGGTTAACCTCGAGAGCAGCGTAGATACATACCGTCTGCAGGGGTGCGAATTGTGGTGGACTGTGAGAAGGGACCGACGTGATCGCCGAAGTTGTGGGCTCTGACCTTGAAGTCGTAGGAGGAGTTGGGCTGGAGGTCGGTGATCAGCAGGCTGTTTGAGGCGCTACAGACAAAAAATGAAAAGTCGGATACGGGATAAAAAAATGTTGAGTACCTAATGAGTAGGTCTTTGTCGTCGCAGTCGACTTGTTTGCCGCTCTCGACCATGCAGATCATGTAGAATCTTGTGTTTTCGTTGTTGTCGATCCAAGTTAGGTTGATGTTCGTCGGGGATACTCGGCCGGCTTCGACGTGTTCGGGGGCCAGCGGTATCAAGTCGTTGAGGTTCGTGTTGGTTCTGTGGCCTTTTGGGGTGTAGGCGGCCCAGGGGGCGTTGGAGGATTTCGCCCATGCGGGAATCACGCGGAATTCGTACTCGACCGAAGCAGCCAACCCTACGGAAAAAAGTTTTTTCAAAAATAAAATACCAGGACACCATGACAAAGGTTAGGTCAGGTCAGGTCAGGTTCTTTCATATTCATTGAAAAATGTAAAATCGCAAAATCAAAAATTCAAAAATTGTGTCTTTAAAAGTTGGGAAATCGAAAAATTCACGAATTGAAAAAAGGAAAAATCTAAAAATCTTAAAAACCGAAGTTATAAAGCCTAAAAATGTGGAAAGAAAATGAAAAATCGACAAATAAAAAAAAATAAAATCGAAACATTGAAAAATCGAAAAACCGAGAAATCGAAAATTCGAAAAACTGAAAAATTAAAATTTTTAGATTGAACAAGCAAAACATTGTAAAATCGAAATTTTCAAGAAACGCAAAAATGAAAAATCAGAAATGAAACCTTTGAAAAGTTGAAAAATCGGAAAACCTAAAAGTTGAAAAATCAAAAAATCTACAAGCTGAGAAATTGAAAAATCTACAAACTGAAATTGTCAAATTAAAAATTCAGAAATTAAAAATCGGGAAATCGAGAAAAATATTAAAAATGGAGAAAATCCCAAAATCAAAAATTTAAAAACCGAAAAAGGGGGAAATTGAAAAATGCAAATATCGGAAAATTTGTAAAAAGAAAATGATAATTCTTAAATGGAAAAATCGAAACATTGAAAAATCGTGAAATTCAAAATCTAAAAATTTACAAATTGAAAAAAGGGGACACCGAAAAACTTAAAAACCGAAAAAATGGAGAAATGAAATGAAAAATTGGAAAATCAAAAAATTTAAAACCGAACCATCGAAAACTCGAGAAATTGGGAAAATCGAAAGCTTTGAAAAGTCGAAAAATCGGGAAACTAAAAAGTTGAAAAATCAAAAAATCTACAAGCTGAGAAATTGAAAAATCTACAAACTGAAAAATCTAAACACTGAAATTGTCAAATCAAAAATTCAGAAATTAAAAACCGAGAAATCGAGAAAAAATATTACAAATGGGAAAATCACAAAATCAAAAATTTAAAAACCGAAAAAGGGGGAAATTGAAAATTGGAAATATCGGAAAATTCCATAATTCGAAGTAGTAAAATCCAACAATTTAGAAATTAAAAATCAAAAAATCGAAAATTCTACAAATTCAAAAATGAAAAATTTTATACAAAAAATGAAAACTCGCCAACCGAAAACTCAATAAAATTAAGTTGAAATATAAAAAAATTAAAAAAATACCAGGAGACCATGACAAAGGTTAGGTCAGGTCAGGTCAGGTCCGTTATTTTTTAATCAATTTTTAAATTCTTAGAAAAACACAAGCCTCCCAAGATTCTTTCATATTCATCGAAAAATGTAAAATCAAAAAATTCAATAACCGAAAAATAGAAATCAGAAATGAAAATTCAAAAAATAGAAAAATAGAAAAATCAAAAATTAAAAATAGTGTTTTTAAAAATTGAAAAATCGAAAAATTCACGAATTGAAAAAAGGAAAAATCTAAAAATCTAAAAAACCGAAGTTATAAAGTCTAAAAATGAGGAAAGAAAATGAAAAATCGAAAAATAAAAAAAATAAAATCGAAACATTGAAAAATCGAAAATTCGAAACATTGAAAAATTAAAATTTTTAGAAATTGAAAAAGCAAAACATTGTAAAATCGAAATTTTCAAGAAACGATACACTGAAAAATAAGAAATGAAAATGTAAAAAATTAAAAATTGAGGAATTGAAAAATCGAAAAATTAAAAATCAAGAAATGGAGAAATCAAAAATTCTAAAAACTTCAACATTGAAAAATAAAAAAATAATAAAAATCGGGTAAATGAGAATTCAAAGAATTTCCAAATCGCAAAATAGGAAAATAGAAGTCAAAAATTGCAAAAAATGGAGAAACTGAAAAATCAGAAAGTTGTAAAAAAGAAAAATTCAAGAAACGAAAAACTGAAAAATCAGAAATGAAAATTTAAAAAATTAAAAATTGAGAAATTGAATCGAAAACTTATAAAATCGGATAATTGAAAATTCGAAAAATAGAAAAATGAAAAATAGCAAAATGGAGAAATTGAAAAGTCGTAAAATCGAAACATTTAAAACTCGAAAAATTGTAATATCCAAAAATTGTAATATCCAAAAATTGTGCTATTAAAAATTGAGAAAAGGAAAAATTCAGGAATTGAAAAAAGGCAAAATCCAGAAATTTAAAAATCTACGAGTTGAAAAATTCACGTGAAAAATTAAAATAGCGAAAAATTAAAAACTTTTAGAAATGGAAAAAGCAAAAAATTGTAAAATCTAAAAATGGAAGAAACGATAAAATGAAAAATCAGAAATGAAAATTAAAAATTGAGGAATTGAACAATCGAAAAATTAAAAATCCAGAATTCGAGGAATCAAAAAATCTAAAAACTGCAATATTGAAAAATCAAAAAATTATAAAATCGGATAAATGAGAATTCGAAAAATTTCCAAAATGTAAAATAAGAAAATAGAAAAGTCAAAAGTTGCAAAAATGGAGAAACTAAAAAATTGGAAGCTGAAACATAAAAAAATCCAAAAATTGTGAAATTGAAAACCGAATAAATGAAAAATTGAAAAATCCAGCATCGATGAAGTGAAAAATTGAAAAAACGAAAAACTAAAATATTTACAAATTGAAAAATCACGAAATTGTAGAAAAGAAAAATTCAAGAAACGCAAAAATGAAAACAGAAACGAAAAATCGAAAAATTATAAAATCGGATAATTGAGAATTCAAAAGATAGAAAAATTTAAAGAGCAAAAATTGCAAAATGGAAAAATCGAACAATCGGAAAATTGAGACATTTGGAAATTAAAAAATTTTGCAATTAAAAATTGCGAAATTAAAAACCTGAAAATGGAAAAGTTTACGAATTGAAAAATGGAAAATTCTAAAAATCGAGAAAACCGAAGAATTAAAAATTGAAAAGTCGAAAAATCTACGAGTTCAAAAATTCGCAATTTTGGAAATCGAAATATTGAAGAATCCAAAATCGATTAAGTGAAATATTAAAAAAGTGAAAAATTCAAGAAACGATAAACTGAAAAATCGGAAATAAAAAGCAAAAATTAAAATTTGACGAGTTGAAAAATCGGAAAATTGAAAAATCGAAAAATTGTGAAATTGAAAACTGAAGAAATGAAAAATTGAAAAATCCAAAATCCACGAAGTAAAAAATTGAAAAAGCGAAAAATTAAAATATTTAGAAATTGAAAAATCAAAAAATTTTGACATCCAAAAATTCAAGAAACGAAAAACTGAAAAATCAAAAACAATAAAATTTAAGAAATTAAAAATTGACGAAATGAAAAGTCGAAAAATCGTAAAATCCAAAAATTGTGTAATTGAAAATTGCGAAATCGAAATCAAAATCTAAAAATGAAGAAAGAAAATAAAAAACGAATTATATATAATAAATAAATAAAATTGACTGAAAATTAGAAATGAAAACGTAAAAAATGAAAAACTGAGGAATTGAAAAATCGAAAAATCTAAAAACTGTAACATTGAAAAATAAAAAAATTATAAAATCGGATAAATGAGAATTCGAAAAATTGCCAGATTGTAAAATAGGTAAATAGGAACTTCAAAATCGAACCATTAAAATCGAAAAATTGTGAAACTTAAAACTGAAGAATAGAAAAATCGAGAAATCCAAACCGATTAAGTGAAAAATTTAAAGGAATCGAAAAATCGAAAAACCTACGAATTGAAAAATGAAAAAATCGAATGGAAAAATTCGAAAAATCCACGAATTTCTCAATTCATAGATTTTGGAAATCGAAAAACTGAAGGAATGAAAAATTGAAAAACCAAAATTTTCGAAAAAAAATCGGTTGTCTGTAAATTCGGTTTACTGACGATAGTTGAACGTGACAACGTCTTAAGAAAATACTGATGGAATGGTAGCATTTTTCAAAAGAAAATTTTGATTTCATTTGTTTAATAGATTTGTATGTATATAGAGAAGGAGGTAATTAGAAATCACAATGAAATTGATCAAGTTAGATTTTCTCGCTTGCACTTCAAGCCTTACATGGAACGGCTCAGAGCGAGGTAACGCCGCATGAGTCACATGGAACGCCTCAGAGCGAGGTTACGCCGCATGAGTCATGTTTTTTCGTGCGTGCAGCCGGCTCAATCGAATTATAAGACGTTGTCACGTCAATAGAACAATTGAAAAATCAAAATTGCAAAATGGAGAAATCGAAAAATCGGAAGATCGAAACATTAAAAAATCGAAAAACTGAAAAATTGGAAAATCTACGAATTGAAAAATGGAAAAATCGAAAAACCAGAATTATAAAACCTAAAAATAAAAAACGAAAATGATCAATTGGAAAATTGAAACATGAAAAAAATTACAATCGAAACATGAAAAATCGAAAAATTCAGAAATTGAAAAATCGAAAAAGTGAAAAAATGTAAAACTGAAAAATCCAAAATCTTTGGAGTTGAACATTTTTAGAAATTGAAAAAGAAAAAAATTGTAAAATCAAAAAATTCAAAAAACGATAAAAAAAGAAAAAAATTAAAAATTGGGGAATTGAAAATCGGGAGATTGAAAAATTGAAAAATAAAAAATTGAGAAATGGAAAAATTTAAAAATCTAAAAATTTTTCAGAATCCAAAAATTATGCAATTAAGAATTGAGAAGTCGAAAAATGAAAACAAACTAAAAATTCAAGTAATAAAACCTACAAATGAAGAAAGAAAATGAAAAATCCGAAAAACGATAAATAAAAAAATCTAAAATTTAAGCATTGAAAAATCGAGAAATCCAAACCGATTAAGTGAAAAATTTAAAGGAGTCGAAAAATCGAAAAACTGAAAAATCGAAAAACCTAGGAATTGAAAAATGAAAAAATCGAATGGAAAAATTCGAAAAATCCACGAATTTCTCAATTCATAGATTTTGGAAATCGAAAAACTGAAGGAATGAAAAATTGAAAAACCAAAATTTTCGAAAAATAGAACAATTGAAAAATCAAAAATTGCAAAATGAAGAAATCGAAAAATCGGAAGATCGAAACATTAAAAAATCGAAAAACTGAAAAATTGGAAAATCTACGAATTGAAAAATGGAAAAATCGAAAAACCAGAATTATAAAACCGAAAAATAAAAAACGAAAATGATCAATCGGAAAATTGAAACATGAAAAAAATTACAAACGAAACATGAAAAATCGAAAAATTCAGAAATTGAAAAATCGAAAAAGTGAAAAAATGTAAAACTGAAAAATCCAAAATTTTTGGAGTTGAAAATTTTTAGAAATTGAAACAGAAAAAAATTGTAAAATCAAAAAATTCAAAAAATGATAAAAAAAGAAAAAAATTAAAAATTGGGGAATTGAAAATCGGGAGATTGAAAAATTGAAAAATAAAAAATTGAGAAATGGAAAAATTTAAAAATCTAAAAATTTTTGAGAATCCAAAAATTATGCAATTAAGAATTGGGAAGTCGAAAAATGAAAACAAACTAAAAATTCAAGTAATAAAACCTACAAATGAAGAAAGAAAATGAAAAATCCGAAAAACGATAAATAAAAAAATCTAAAATCTAAGATTGAAAAATCGAGAAATCCAAACCGATTAAGTGAAAAATTTAAAGGAGTCGAAAAATCTAAAAACTGAAAAATCGAAAAACCTACGAATTGAAAAATGAAAAAATCGAATGGAAAAATTCGAAAAATCCACGAATTTCTCAATTCATAGATTTTGGAAATCGAAAAACTGAACAATCAGACCTGAAAAAGTAAAAAATTAAAAATTGAGAAATTGAATCGGATAATGGAAAAAATTGAAAAATTTAGAATTGAGGACTGGAAAATTGAAAAACCTAAAAATCAAAAAATTGTAACATTGAAAAATCGAAGAAACGAAAAATTGAAGAATCTAAACCTTCCAAAACTGAATAAACTACGAAATCGAAAAATCCCAACATTGAAAAATTAAAATCTGAAATAATGACAAAATTTTCTGTTTATTGTAGTTTATTGTAGTTTTTGTCTTTATTTTACTCTGTAACAGCTTTATTGGCGTTAATAAATGCAATTAAAAAAAAAAAAAATTATAACAGAAAAAATGAAAAATTGGAAAATGTATATCTTTAACAATAAAAAAAGAAAATAACAGAAAAATTCAAAATATCTAGAAATTGAAAAATCTAAAATAAAAAATTAAAAAATTGAAGAAATAAAAAATCAAAAAAATGCAGAACTTAAATAATTGAGTACTTAATTGAGAAATTGTAAAATTTGAAAATAATCAGAAAACTCAAGAAATAAATAATTGAAAAATTAAAACCGATAAAGTAAGAGATTGAAAAAGCTAAAAGTTCAAAAAACAATATACTGAAAAATCAAAAATGAAAAATTAAAGCACTAAAAATTGAGAAATTAATAATCGGGAAACGGAAAAACGAAAAATTGGGAAATCTAAATCTTCCAAAATGGAAAAAATAAAGAAATTGAAAAATCAAAAAATACTAGAATGTTAAAAACAGTTGCCTGAGATGGCTTGACCTGACCAAGCGGTTTTTGATTTATTCAAGAAAATATTTTACTACATACACATTTTTTGTGACATCTTATATTAGCAATTCTATAAAAAAAAAATGTTTAAAAAACCCTACATAGAAGCATTTCAAATGGAAATAACTTAGCAAAATTGTAAGACGACGTCATCGATTTACCTTCCTACGAAATAAAAAAAAAAAAAAATCCGGGACGCAGGAACTTCTCAAGCAATTTTTTAACTTCACGACCAACTTAGCTTTGAAAGTGTAAACGCTACCTTTAACTCACCGGTAATGGTGTACGAAAATCCTTCGCAGCGTTCAGAAACGGCAGGAGGCCGTCCTTTGCGCCTCCACTCAATCTTGTATAACTCGTTTGTACCATCGCAAGGAACATCCGTGCTAACTCTGGACCAGGATAATTCGACCGAGGTTTCGTTAATTGGGATTACTTGTAAGTTGCGTCTACCTTTCATACCTACAGCGGAAGTTTATGTAAACCTACAGTAGACTAATCAAGTCCGAAACTCACCTGTCTTGCAGCTAACTTTCTGCGACCGGTCGCTCGCAATCGTTGAGTATAGTCGAACATAACACGTGTAATTTGTACTACCATTAAGACCAGAAGCCAAATACTGCGTCCTATTTGTAACGAAGTCAGTCCCGGGCATCTCTCGTTCCATATCTGCAACACAACGAGCAACTCAAGGCTCCATTCTCGACCCCACATCTTTCGCACTTTCCCGCACCGACTCACCCGTATAGTAACAATAGATGCTGTAGGCCTTCACCTCCAACGCGTCCTTCGGGCGCTGCCAACTCAGACAGACGCTCGAGTCGTCGTAAGGCCGACATTGTACATTCTCAGGAGGACTAGGAGTATGTAGTAACGTAGGTACCAACTGCGCCGCCGCCCACACCCTCCCCGCCGCGTTCACAGCGAAGCACTGGTAAATCCCCGAGTCCGACGTGAACGTGTGGCTGATGACCAGCTTGGTGGGGTGCTTCTTGATCCTGGCGGCGTTCTGCAGCGGCTCCCCGTTCTTCAGCCAGTAGATTTTTGGTTTGGGCGAGCCGAGGGCGTGGCAGTCCAGGCGGACGGTTTTGGCCGGGGGGTAGGTCTTCGACGTGGGGGTGACGTTGAAGTAGGGCGCCTGGTGCACCTCGAGGAGGTACCGCTGGCTGATGCGCCCTCCGGCGTTGTAGACCGTGCACGTGTAGTTGCCGGCGTCGCGCAGGCTCGCGTTGCGGAACTGCAGAACGCTCGAATTGCTAATAACGACACTAATATCTGGAAGAAGAGGGTTAAAGGGGAGGGGCGAGGCGGGGGGGCACTCACTGTTAAGCCATTGTACTGTAGGAATAGGCCATCCGCTCACAGCGCAATGTAGATACGCGTCTTCTCCAGCCAGAACTGTGGTGGTATTCGGTAAAATATCAAGAGGTAGAAACGTGGGGGCTACGGTCTTCGAGGGAACTGAAGAAACCGTTAGCTCAACTATCTTACTATTCTTAGTCTTTTTAAGTAAACTATTTGTTGCAATACATCTGCAAGCAGTCGGTTGTTGAGGGATTCTTTTTATGACTAGACTCACCTATATGATCCTGCGTCTGAGGAATGAGTTTTTGTGATTAATAAAGCTCCCGTAGGGAGAGGAACATATCTGGAACAACGAAAACATTCAAAACAACGTACATAATAACAATAATAATAAATATATTTAGTCGCCAACTACTGGAAATATTTACATATACCTAAAAATAGACGTCACCTTCAACAATTCCTATCTAAATGATCTAAATAATCATTACAGCTACCAAACTTCGTGCACAGTTTTTATAAAAGATTGTACGATTTTTTTAAATAAGTTTTGGGGGTCTGGGGTGTTTATTTTTTGAAAATGTTTGATGAAAGAATCTCGGACACACTTCATGTCAATTTTTTTGAGAAAGCCCAATAATCTCAGAGATTCCTTGTATTTTTTAAGAGTGCCAACAAATTTCGTATACCCCCAGTGCCTTTTTCTAAAGGAATGAGCAAAAATTATGAGGATCCCAAACGTCTTTTTTGAGAAGAAAAATCTTGAGGGACCCTTTTTTTGAGAATGTTCTAGATTTATAGAGGACTCTAATCTCTGTGAGAATGAACAAGAATCTTGGGGGATCTTGTGGATTTTCTTGAGAATGCCCTAGAATCATGGAGGACCCTAGTGTCTGTATTGAGAATGCCCACAAATTTTGAGAACCTCTTGTGGCTCATTTTAAGAATGCCCAAAAATCAAGGAGGACCTCTTTGAGAATGCTCTAGGCTCTAATTTCTCTGAGAATGTCCAAGAATCTTGGGGGGGCTTGTGGATTTTTTTAGAATGCCCTAGAATCATAGAGGACCCTAGTATCTCTTTGAGAATGCCCAAGAAACCTGAGGATCCCTTGTGGTTTTTTTGAGCATGCCCTAGATTCACGGAAAGCCCTAGTTTACCTGAGAATGTCCAAGAATGATGGGGGGGGGGTCTTGTGAATGTTTTTAAGAATACCCTAGAATGACGGAGGGCTCTAATCTCTCTGGGAATGCCCAAGAATCACGGAGGGCCCTAGTGATTTTGATAATGACCAAGACTCTTGGATGCGCCTTGTAGCTGTTTAAAAGAATGCCCAGAATCTGAGTCTATTTTGAAAATGTCCAAGAATTTTGGGGGATCTTGTGGATTTTGTTGACAACGTCCTAGAATCATGGAGGACCCTAGTGTCTTTATTGAGAATGCCCAAAAATTTTGAGAGCCTCTTGTGGCTCATTGCAAGAATGCCCAAACATCAAGGAGGACCTCTTTGAGAATGCTCTAGATTCACGGACGGCTACAATTTCTCTGACAATGTCCAAGAATCTTGGGGGACCCTTTTGGATTTCTTTTTAGAATGCCTTAGACTCATAGAGGACCCTAGTGTCTTTTGAGAATGTCCAAGAATCACGGAAGATCCTAGTGTCTCTTTGAGAATGCCCAAGAATCTTGAGGATCCCTTGTGTTGTTTTTTTTTTTTTAGAATGCCTTAGATTCATGGACGGCTCTAGTCCCTCTGACAATGTCCAAGAACATGGGGAGAGGAGAGGGGGGGGGGGGCTTGTGGATATTTTTGAGAATACCCAAGAATCACGAAACGCCCTAGTGTCTCTTTGAAAATGGCCAAGAATCATGACGATCCCTTGTGGTTTTTTTTCGAGAATGCTCTAGATTCTCAGAGGGATCTAGTCCCTCCGAGAACGTCCAAGAATCTTGGGGGGGCTTGTGGATTTTTTTAGAATGCCCTAGAATCATAGAGGACCCTAGTGTTTCTTTGAGAATGCCCAAGAAACCTGAGGTTCCCTTGTGGTTTTTTTTGAGCATGCCCTAGATTCACGGAAAGCCCTAGTTTACCTGAGAATGTCCAAGAATCATGGGGGGCTCTTGTGGATTTTTTTGAGAATACCCTAGAATCACGGAGATTTCTAGTCTCTCTGGGAATGTCCAAGAATCACGGAGGGCCCCTGAGGCTTTTTTGAGAACGCACTAGATTCACGAAAGGCTCTAATGTTTCTGAGAATGCCCTAGAATCATGGAGAGGCCTAGTTTCTTCTTTGAGAATGCCCAAGAATCACAAAAGACCCGAGTGTCTCTCCGAGAATGTGTTTTTTTAGAATGCCCTAGAATCATGATGGGTTCTGCTGTCTTTGAGAATGCCCAAGGATCTTGGAGGCGCCTTGTAGCTATTTAACAGAATGCCCAGAATCTGTGTCTTTTTTGAGAATGCCCAAGAAACTTGAGCGCTCCTTGTAGCTTATTTTGAGAAAGCCCTAGAATCATGGACAGCCCTAGTGTCTTTTTTGAGAATGCCCAAAAATCACGAAAGGTCCTAGTGTCTCTTTGAGAATGCCCAAGAATCACGGGAGGTCCTTGTGTCTCTCTGAGAATGCCCTAGATTCACGGAGGGCTCTAGCCTCTCTGAGAATGTCCAAGAATCTTGGGGAGCCCTTGTGGATTTTTTTGAGAATGCCCTAGAATAACGGACGGCTCTAGTGTCTTTTTTTGAGAGTGCCCAAGAATCACTGAACGTCCTAGTGTCTCTTTGAAAATGCCCAGAAATTCTGAGTCCCTTGTGTTTTTTTCTGGAGAATGCCTTAGAATCATGGAGGACCCTAGTGTCTTTATTGAGAATGCCCAAAAATTTTGAGAGCCTCTTGTGGCTCATTTTAAGAATGCCCAAAAATCAAGGAGGACCTCTTTGAGAATGCTCTAGAATCACCCAGGGCTCTAATTTCTCTGAGAATGTCCAAGAATCTTGGGGAGCCCTTTTGGATTTTTTTTAGAAGGCCTTAGAATCATAGAGGACCCTAGTGTATTGTTTGAGAATGTCAAGAATCACGAAGGTCCTAGTGTCTCTTTAAGAATGCCCAAGAATCTTGAGGGTCGCTTGTGTTTTTTTTTCGAGAATGCCCTAGATTCTCGGAGGGATCTAGTCCAAGAATCTTGGGGGCGCCTTGTGGATTTTTTTAGAATCATAGAGGACCCAAGTGTCTCTTTGAGAATGCCTAAGAATCTTGAGGATCATTTATATTTTTTTTAATGCCCTATATTCACGAAGGCTTTAGTCTCTGTGAGAATGCCCGAGAATCTTGGGAAGTGCTTGTGGATTTTTTTGAGAATGCCTTAGAATCACGGAGGGCTCCACTGTCGTTTTTTAGGGTGCCCAAGCATCACTGAAGGTCCTACTGTCTCTTTGAAAATGCCCAGAAATCTTGAGTCCCTTGTGTTTTTTTGAGAATGTTCTGGATTCATAGAGGGCTCTAATCTCTGTGAGAATCTCCAAGAATCTTGGGGGATCTTGTGGATTTTCTTGACAATGCCCTAGAATCATGGAGGAACCTAATGTCTTTATTGAGAATGCCCAAACATTTTGAGAGCCTCTTGTGGCTTATTTTAAGAATGCCCAAAAATCAAGGAGGGCTCTAATTTCTCTGAGAATGTCCAAGACTATTGGGGGGCCTTGTGGATTTTTTTGACAATGTCCAAGAATCACAGAAGATCCTAGTGTCTCGTTGAGAATGCCGAAGAATCTTGAGGATCACTTGTATTCTTTTAATGCCCTACATTCACGAAGGCTTTAGTCTATGTGAGAATGCCCGAGAATCTTGGGGAGCCCTTGTGCATTTTTTTTAAAATGCCCTAGAATCACGGAGGGCTCCACTGTCTTTTTTTGAGAGTGCCCAAGAATCACTGGAGGTCCTACTGTCTTTGAAAATGCCCTGAAATCTTGAGTCCCTTGTGTTTTTTTTTTGAGAATGTTCTAGATTCATAGAGGGCTCTAATTTCTGTGAGAATGTCCAAAAATCTTGGAGGATCTTGTGGATTTTCTTGACAATGCCTAGAATCATGGAGGATCCTAGTGTCATTTTAAGAATGCCCAAAAATCAAGGAGGACCTCTTTGAGAATGCTCTAGATTCACGGAGGGCTCTAATTTCTCTGAGAATATCCAAGAATATTGGGGGCCTTTTTGGATTTTTTTTAGAATGCCTTAGAATCATAGAGGACCCTAGTGTATTTTTTGAGAATGTCCAAGAATCACGGAAGGTCTTTGTGTCTCTTTGAGAATACCCAAGAATCTTGAGCGTCCCTTGTGTTGTTTTTTTTTTTTGGAATGCCTTAGATTCATGGACGGCTCTAGTCCCTCTGAGAATATCCAAGAACATGGGGAGAGTGGGGAGGCTTGTGGATATTTTTGAGAATGCCCAAGAATCACGGAAGACCCTAGTGTCTCTTTGAGAATGGCCATGAATCATGACGGTCCCTTTTGGTTTTTTTTTCGAGAATGCCCTAGATTCTCGGAGGGATCTAGTCCCTCTGAGAACGTCCAAGAATCTTGGGGGGCCTTGTGGACTTTTTTAGAATGCCCTACAATCATAGAGGAGCCCTTGTGGTTTTTTTGAGCATGCCCTAGATTCACGGAAAGCCCTAGTTTACCTGGAATGTCCAAGAATCATGGGGGGCTCTTGTGGATTTTTTTGAGAATACCCTAGAATCACGGAGAGCTCTAGTTTCTCTGGGAATGCCCAAGAATCACGGGGGGCCCTTGTGTCATTGAGAATGCCCAAGAATCTTGGGGACCCTTGAGGCTTTTTTGAGAATGTACTAGATTCACGAAGGGCTCTAATGTTTCTGGGAATGTCCTAGAATCATGGAGGGCCCTAGTTTCTGCTTTGAGAATGCCCAAGAATCACGGAAGGCCCTAGTGTCTCTTTGAAAATGTGTTTTTTAGAATGCCCTAGAATCATGAAGGGCCCTGGTGTCTGAGAATGCCCAAGAATCTTGGAGGCGCCTTGTAGCTATTTAACAGAATGCCCAGTATCTGTGTCTTTTTTGAAAATGCCCAGTATTCTTGAGCGCCCCTTCTAGGTTATTTTGAGAATGCCCTAGAATCATGGGCAGCCCTAGTGTCTGTTTTGAGAATGCCCAAGAATTACGGAAGGCCCTAGTGTCTCTTTGAGAATGCCCAAGAAACTTGAAGATCCTTTGTGTTTTTTTTTGAGAATGCCCTAGATTCACGGAAAGCCCTAGTCTCTCTGAGAATGTCCAAGAATCATGGGGGGGGGGGGCCTTGTGGATTTTTTTTAAAATGCCCTAGAATCATGGAGGGTTCTAGTCTCTCTGGGATTGCCCAAGAATCACGGAGGGCCCTTGTGTCATTGACAATGCTCAAGAATCTTGGGACCCCTTGTGGCTTTTTTGAGAATGCACTAGATTCCCGCTCTAGTGTTTCTGAGAATGCCCAAGAATATTGGAGGGCCATTGTAGATTTTTTTGAGAATGCCCAAAAATCACGAAAGGCCCTAGTGTATCTTTGAAAATGTGTTTTTTTGAATGCCCTAGAATCATGAAGAATCCTGGTGTCTTTGAGAATGCCCAAAAATCGTGGAGGCGCCTTGTAGCTATTTAACAGAATGCCCAGAATCTGTGTCTTTTTTGAAAATGCCCAAGAATCTTGGGGAAGCTTTGTGACTTTTTTAAAAATGCCAAAAAAATTTCGGAGACCCTGAGTATCTTTTTTTTGAGAATGCCCAAGAATCTGTCTTTTTTGAGAATGCCCAAAAATCTTGGGCGCCGCTTGTAGCTTATTTTGAGAATGCCCTGGAATCATTGAAGGTCCTAGAGTCTCTTTGAGAATGTCTAAAAAACTTGAGGGTCCCTTATGTTTTTTTGAGAATGCCCTAGATTCATGGAAGGCTCTAGTCTCCCTGAGAATGCCTAAGAATTGTGGGAACCCCTAGCGGCTTTTTTTGAGAACGCTCTAGAATCACTGAAGGTCCTAGAGTCTCTTTGAAAATGTCTAAAAAACTTGAGGGTCCCTTATGGTTTTTTTGAGAACGCTCTAGAATCACTGAAGGTCCTAGAGTCTCTTTGAAAATGTCTAAAAAACTTGAGGGTCCCTTATGGTTTTTTTAGAATGCCCTAGATTCACGGAGGGCTCTAGTTTCGCTGAGAATGCCCAAGAATCTTGGGGGGGGCTTGTGGATTTTTTTGAGAATGCCCTAGAAACAAGTAGGGCCTTACTGTCTTTTTTGAGAATGCCCAAGAATCACGGAAGGCCCTAGTTTGTCTTTGGGAATGCCCAAGAAAGTTGGGGATCCCTTGTGGTTTTTTTGAGAATGCCCTAGATTCATGGAAGGCTCTAGTCTCCCTGAGAATGTCTAAGAATCTTGGGGGAGGCTTGTGGATTTTTTTGAGAATGCCCTAGAATCACTGAAGGTCCTAGAGTCTCTTTGAGAATGTCTAAAAAACTTGAGGGTCCCTTATGTTTTTTTACAATGCCCTAGATTCACGCAGGGCTCTAGTTCTCTGAGAATGCCCAAGAATCTTGGGGGGGGGGGGGGGGCTTGTGGATTTTTTTGAGAATGCCCTAGAAACAAGAAGGGTCTTAGTGTCTTTTTAAGAATGCCCAAGAATCACCTACAATAATGATGGGCCCTGGTGTCTGAGAATGCCCAAGAATCTTGGAGGCGCCTTATAGCTTTTTATCAGAATGCCCAAGAATCTGTCTTTTTTGAAAATGCCCAAGAATATTGGGGGCGCTTTGTGTATTTGTTAAGAATACTGAAACAATTTCGGAGACACTTTATATCTTTTTTGAGAATGCCCAAGAATCTGTCTTTTTTTTTGAGAAAGCCTAAGACTCTTGAGCGCCCCTTGTGTCTTATTTTGAGAATGCCCAAGAATCACGGAGAGCCCTTGTGTTGTTGAGGATGCCCAAGAATCTTGGGGACCCCTTATGGCTTTTTTTGAGAATGCCCTAGATTTACGGAGAGCCCTAGTGTCTCTTTCAGAATGCCCAAAAATCTGTGTCTTTTTTGAGAATGCCTGAAAATCTTGGGGATCCCTTGTATCTTTTTCTGAAAATAGTCAATAATCTATGTTTCTTTTGAGAATGCCCAAGAATCTGTGTCTTTTTAAGAATGCCTAAAAATTTGGGAGACCCATAGTATCTTTTTTTGAGAATGCCCTAGATTCATGGAGGGCTCTAGTGTCTCTGAGAATGCCCAAGAATCATAGGGGGGGCTTATGGATTTTTTTTTAAGAATTCCCTAGAATCATGGAGGGCCCTAGTGTCTTTTTTTGAGAATGCCCAAGAATCACTGAAGCCCTTAGTGTCTTTTTGAAAATGTGTTTTTTTAAAATGCCCTAGAATCATGAAGGGTCCTGGTGTCTGAGAATGTACAAGAATCTTGAGTACCCTTTGTCTTTTTTGAGTATGCCAAAAATTTTTCGGAGACCCCTTGCATCGTTGAGAATGCCCAAGATTCTTGGGAACCTCTTTTGGCTTTTTTGAAAACACCCTAGATTCAAGGACGGCCCCAGTGTCTCTATGAGAATGCCCAAGAACCTTGAGGGCATCTTGGGCTTTTTTTTAGAATGTCCTAGAATTACGGAGGAGCCCTAGTGTATTTTTTAAGAATGCCAAAACATTTTTGGAGACCTCTAATATCTTTTTTTGAGACTGCCCAAGAATGTTTTTTTTTATAATGTCCAAGAATCATGGAAAGCCCTTGTGTCGTTGAGGATGCCCAAGATTCTTCGTTTTTTGAAAATACCTGAGAATCTTGGGGACCCCTTGTGTCTTTTTTATGAATGCCAAAAAAATTTCGGAGACCCCTTGTGGCTTATTTTGAGAATAGCCAAGAATCTTAGGCACTCCTTGTGTTTTTTTAAGAATGCCAAAAAATTGCGGAGACCCCTATCATGTTTTTTTTTAGAACGGTCAAGAATCTTGAGAGCCCCTTGTGGTTTATTTTGAGAATGCCCAAGAATCTTGGGGGCTACTTGTGTCTTTTTTAAGAACGCCAAAAAAATTTCAGAGACCCCTAGATCTTTTTTTTGAGAATGTCCAAGAATTTAAGGCACCCCTTGTGTTTTTTTAAGAATGCCAAACAAAAAATTTCGGAGACCATTAATATTTTTTTTAGAATGGTCAAGAATCTTGAAAGCCTCTTGTAACTTATTTTGAGAATGCCCAAGAATCTTGGGGGGACCTGTGTCTCTTTGAGAATGCCATAGAATCACGTAGGGCCCTAGTGTCTTTTATGAGAATGCCTAAGAATCTTGGAGGCGCCTTGTGGCTTTTTTTTTCAAAATGCCCAAGGATTTGTGTCTTTTTTGAGAATGCCTAAGAATCTTGGGGACCTCTGGCGTGTTTTTTAAGAATACCCAAGAATCTTGGAGGCGGCTTGTACCTTTGTTTCAGAATGCGCTAGAATCTGTCTTTTTTGAAAATCCCTAAGAATCTTGGGGACCCCTTGTGTCTTTTTTATGAATGCCAAAAAAATTTCGGAGACCCCTTGTGGCTTATTTTGAGAATAGCCAAGAATCTTAGGCACTCCTTGTGTTTTTTTTAAGAATGCCAAAAAATTGCGGAGACCCCTATCATGTTTTTTTTTAGAACGGTCAAGAATCTTGAGAGCCCCTTGTGGTTTATTTTGAGAATGCCCAAGAATCTTGGGGGCTACTTGTGTCTTTTTTAAGAACGCCAAAAAAATTTCAGAGACCCCTAGATCTTTTTTTTGAGAATGTCCAAGAATTTAAGGCACCCCTTGTGTTTTTTTAAGAATGCCAAACAAAAAATTTCGGAGACCATTAATATTTTTTTTAGAATGGTCAAGAATCTTGAAAGCCTCTTGTAACTTATTTTGAGAATGCCCAAGAATCTTGGGGGGACCTGTGTCTCTTTGAGAATGCCATAAAATCACGTAGGGCCCTAGTGTCTTTTATGAGAATGCCTAAGAATCTTGGAGGCGCCTTGTGGCTTTTTTTTTTCAAAATGCCCAAGGATTTGTGTCTTTTTTGAGAATGCCTAAGAATCTTGGAGACCTCTTGTGTCTTTTTTAAGAATGCAAAAAAATCTTCGTAGACCCGTAGTATCTTTTTTTGAGAATGCCCAAGAATATATATGCACCTCTTGTGTTTTTTTTTAGAAGGCAAAAAAATTTCGGAGAGCCGTAGTTTTTTTTTTTTTTTAGAATGGTCAAGAATCTTGAGAGCCCCTTGTGTCTTTTCTCAGAATCCTTAAGAATCTTGGAGACCCCTTGTGTGTTTTTTAAGAATGTAAAAAAATTTCGGAGACCCCTAGTATCTTTTTTGAGAATGTCCAGGAATCTGTTTTTTTTTTAAATGCCCAATGGAGACCCCTAGTATATTTTTTTTAGAATGGTCAAGAATCTCGAGAGTCCTTTGCTTGTGGCCTTTTTTGAGACTGCGCTAGAATCACAAAGGGCCCTAGTGTCTTTTTTGAGAATGCCCTAGAATTTCTGCTTTTTTTTTTAATAAACGCCAAAAAATCTCGGGGGTCCCTTATGTCTTTTTTTTTAAATGCTCGAAAGTCTTGGGCCCCTCTTGTGTCCTTTGTAATAATGTGAAAGAATCTTAGAAGCTCATAGTGTCTTTTTTTTGTGATAAAAAGATAATCAACTCAGAAATGTCAATCATAACCTAACTTTCTCAAGCTATTTCAATGTTTGCCTGATGGTATGCAACCAACAATTCACCTCACATGATTAATTTTACAACGTACCGCACGATTGCGGTAATTCTTACTACAAAATTCATTGTCAGATTTTCCAAAGCCACTTAATGTACGGTATCTGATAATCACCTTCATAAAAATTATGAAATCTGATGTTTTCTAAATCCTTTGGGGAATCTTATATATTAGGTAGTTATATAAAACTTTGTAAAGATCACTCGTAAAAAAATAATAAGAATTCCCTTTAAATTGATTACATAATTTTGGCAACAACGCACGATATTTTCGAAAGATCCGGAAACGTCGAAGTACTCGCGATAAGATTAAATAAAATGAAAATAAATCCAGCCAGTACTCACTCACCTTGTGTTATGAGGTAGAGGTTTGGTATTTTGCTCCCACTTAATTTGTGCAGCAGGAACGGAGTTTATATTGCAGAAGAGAACTGCAGGTTGAGATTCTGGAACACTCAGATTACTTGGTTGTTTGTCGAAATCACCGAAAGCTGGAAACCATTAAATAAATAGAGCTGCAATCGTATCCACCGTTCATTATAACTCAACACATAAGTTAAGTAACGAAACTTAATTAAAAGTAAACGTTAGAAACGCAAATATTGAAGCTACCAAAACACGGTCTACTCTCTACCTGTTCCAGGCGGACCAACCGCTCAAATACAATAACAACAAGAGAAAGTAGACACATTTTCGAACTACAACCTACATATTAAGCGCACACATAGATTTTGCCTTTTTCGAATCGAGATAACGATGGCGTGTGCTCGAAACACACCAATTAGCCGAAAAAAATTTTCCGAAACTATTGAACAAACTCGTGTGCTTTATGGACGCATCTAAATCGGGCTATTTTATATCCGACACGCAAAAGGTCTTAACCTGAATTAATAAAATATCGATTCGGTGCGAAAACTAATCCGAGGGTTCGATAACACGAGCTGGAGCTTCCGTGTAGTGAGGGATCGGCGGGTAAGGAGATGCTGCTTTTCTGCCGATTTAATAATTTGTTTCACGTTTATACAACGTCACAGCAACGATTAATTTTTTCTATATTTCGTATTGGACGTTGCGTCTCTGAAACTAGGCCAACATGACTTGAAATAAGGCTTCGTCGTATCACATGGGTATAAATACAAAAAGATACATAATTTAGCGATAGAATACGTCATTTTGTAGTTTACGTAAAGTAACGTTAAGTCACATTTGTTAGTAAAGTAAGTTGAGGCTTTGTTAGCTATGACGAAAATTCGACGTCATTTCTACGTACTTTATCAATTAAAATTTATACGTATACCTGATTAATTCGATTAATGGTGTCCATGACAATGGCATTTCGAATTGACGTATAAAACTACTACTACCGCCATTACGTTAACGTTAAATTTTTTAAACGTAAAATCATTGACAAGGACGACGTGCTCAATATTTTTACGTTACGACACACAAGTTAAAATAAATTGCGAGACCTTAAGGTAGAGTGTGTAGTCGAAATTTGGTTAGTTTCGATGGAAAGTTTAGTTATTTCGATTCTGACATGTTGGCAACGTTAAATTCTGATAACTTTCTCCATAACGTCATCAAAACGTTGAAAATACGTATTCTACAATATGAATTTACTACTCAATAATTTGGTTAAATTTGCAATTGTATGTTTTTGCGATGTTAGGATAAGGACAAATTTTTGTCATTTTTTTATTTTGACGTCTCTTTTCAATTTTAGATGTCACATTTATTGTTGATTATAACGTTATTAAAACGTTGAAAACAGTATTCTGAATAATTATCCTAGCGACTCGATGCGTCAAACAAGGCCAGTCGTTTGGTATTCAATCATTTAAGAAAACATTTAACTGGGTAACGTTGAAAACTGGTTAATTTTTAACGCCCATTTAACGTCATTCTAAATTTTTTTACAAAAATATCAAATGTCCAATTTCTACTATAACAATTGAAATTCAGTCAAGCTCGAAAAAAATTTACGTCATTTTAACGTATCCATGTTACGTTTCAGTCAATGTACATTTACAGGAATTAACATTGGAATATGGTTAGTTTTGATGCCAATTTTGTTTTTGACAAGTTTCAGTATTTTTTTACAGTAGGTTTTCAATCTTAGACGTAATTTACTGTTGATTATTCCGTTATTAATACGTTGAAAACACGTATCTGAATAATAATCGTAGCGACTCGATGTGTCAGACGTTCAAAATCTGCTTATTCATTTGGTATTCAATCATTAAAACACAAAACATCTTAATCTATGCATTAACGTTGAAAACTAGTTATTTTTAGACGACGATTTAACGTCAATTCAAGTGGAAGTCTACGGCATGTTTAAAACGAGTGACTGTAAGAATTTCATTACTAAAATATCAAGTGAAATTTGCTCAAGTTTCGAAAAATATTAACGTCATTTTAGCGTATCCATATTATATTATGCTTAGTGTATATTCACATGAATTAACGTTGCAATTTGGTTAGTTTTGACGATAATTTTAATTACAACAATTCTGTTTTCGACCGTTAAATTTTAGCTTTTTTTTACTTTGACGTAGCTTTTCAATCTTGGACGTCATTTATTGTTGATTATAACGTTATTACAACGTTGAAAACACGCATCCAGAATAATAACCTTAGCGATTCGATGTGTCAGACGAAAATCTGCCCATTCATTTGGTATTCAATAATTAAAAAAAAAGCTTAATTTATTAACGTTGAAAACTAGTTATTTCTAGACGACGATTTAACGTCACATCAAGTGGAAATCTACGGCATGTTTAAAACGAGTGAGTGCAAGAATTTCACATGAATTGACGTTGGAATTTGGTTAGTTTTGATGACACTTTAACGTATTGGAATTCTATGTTTTCGACACGTTACAAAATGGTTAAATTTTAGGTTTTTTTTAATTTTGACGTATTTTCAAATCTTAGACGTTCTTTATTGTTGATTAAAAAACGTTACTACAACGTTGAAAATACGTACTCTGAATAATAATCTTAGCGACTCGATGTATCAGGACGAGAAATCTGCGTATTCAATTTGGTATTCAATAATTTAAGAAAGCATCTAACTTAGTAACGTTGATAACTAGTTAATTATAGACGATCATTTAACGTCATTTCTAGAATTTGTTTACACAAATATTAAATTTATTTACACTCCAATTATTGACGTATTAAATAAATGTACACAAAATAACGTTGAAATTTGGTTAATTTTGACGAGAATTTCAACGTATTGCAATTCTATGTTTTCGACGTTAGAAGACCGTTAAACTTTGGTATTTTTTCTACATTCACGTAGCTTTTCAATTTAGAAGTCATTTACTGTTGATTATAACGTTATTACAACGTTGAAAGCACGTATTCTGAATAGTAATTTTAGCGACTCGATGTGTCAGACGAAGAATTCTTTTGGTATTCAATCATTTAAGAAAACATCTAGAAATGGTTAATTTTAGACCACGATTTAACGTTATTTTTAGAATTTCTTTAAAAAATATATCAAATGTTAAATTTATACTCCTATGATTGAAATTCGGTCAAGCTCAAAAAAAAAAAAAATTGGCGTCGTTTTAACGTATCCCTGTTACGTTGCAGTCGGTTACATTTACGTGAATTAACGTTGAAATTTGGTTAGTTTTGACTAGAATTTTAACAAATCGCAATTCTGTGTTCACGACAAGTTAGAATATAGTTAAATTTTAGTCTTTTTTTTTACTTTGACGTATCTTTTCAATCCTGGACGTCATTTATTGTTGATTATAACGTTGTTACAACGTTAAAAACACGTATTCTGAAGAGTAATCTTAGTAACTCGATGTGTCAGACAAGGAATCTGCATATTCATTTGGTATTCAATAATTTAAGAAAACATCCAAATTAGTAACGGTGAAAACTGGTTGATTTTAGACGACGATTTAACGTTATTTCTATAATTTCTTTAAAAAATATATCAAATGTTAAATTTATACTCCTATGATTGAAATGCGGTCAAGCTCAAAAAAAAAAAATTAGCGTCGTTTTAACGTATCCCTGTTACGTTGCAGTCGGTTACATTTACGTGAATTAACGTTGAAATTTGGTTAGTTTTGACTAGAATTTTAACAAATCGCAATTCTGTGTTCACGACAAGTTACAATATCCTTAAATTTTAGACTTTTTTTTTACTTTGGCGTATCTTTTCAATCCTGGACGTCATTTATTGTTGATTATAACGTTGTTACAACGTTAAAAACACGTATTCTGAAGAGTAATCTTAGCAACTCGATGTGTCAGACGAGGAATCTGCATATGCATTTGGTATTCAATAATTTAAAAAAACATCCAAGTTAGTAACGGTGAAAACTAGTTCATTTTAGACGACGATGTAACGTTATTTCTATAATTTCTTTAAAAAATATATCAAATGTTAAATGTATACTCCTATGATTGAAATTCGGTCAAGCTCAAAAAAAAAATGGCGTCGTTTTAACGCATCACTGTTACGTTGCAGTCGGTTACATTTACGTGAATTAACGTTGAAATTTGGTTAGTTTTGACTAGAATTTTTACAAATCGCAATTCTGTGTTCACGACAAGTTAGAATATCGTTAAATTTTTGTCTTTTTTTTACTTTGACGTATCTTTTCAATCCTGGACGTCATTTATTGTTGATTATAACGTTGTTACAACGTTAAAAACACGTATTCTGAAGAGTAATCTTAGCAACTCGATGTGTCAGACAAGGAATCTGCATATTCATTTGGTATTCAATAATTTAAGAAAACATCCAAGTTAGTAACGGTGAAAACTGGTTAATTTTAGACGACGATTTAACGTTATTTCTGGAATTTCTTTAAACAATATATCAAATGCTAAATTTTTAATCCTATAATTGAAATTCGGTCAAACTCAAAAAAAAATGGCGTCGTTTTAACGCATCCCTGATACGTTGCAGTTGGTTATATTTACGTGAATTAACGTTGAAATTTGGTTAGTTTTGACTAGAATTTTAACAAATCGCTATTCTGTGCTCACGACAAGTTAGAATATCGTTAAATTTTAGTCTTTTTTTTACTTTGACGTATCTTTTCAATCCTGGACGTCATTTATTGTTAATTATAACGTTGTTACAACGTTAAAAACACGTATTCTGAAGAGTAATCTTAGCAACTCGATGTGTCAGACCAGGAATCTGCATATCCATTTGGTATTCAATAATTTAAGAAAACATCCAAGTTAGTAACGGTGAAAACTGGTTAATTTTAGACGACGATTTAACGTTATTTCTAGAATTTGTTTAAAAAATATATCAAATGTTAAATCTATACTCCTATGATTGAAATTCGGTGAAGCTCAAAAAAAATGGCGTCGTTTTAATGTATCCCTGTTACGTTGCAGTCGGTTACATTTACGTGAATTAACGTTGAAATTTGGTTAGTTTTGACTAGAATTTTAACGTATCGCAATTCTATGTTCACGACAGGTTAGAATATCGTTACATTTTAGTCTTTTTTTTTACTTTGACGTATCTTTTCAATATTGGACGCCAGTTATTGTTGATTACAACGTTGAAAACACGTATTCTGAATAGAAATCTTAGCGACTCGATGTATCAGACGATGAATCTCTCTATTCATTTGATATTTAATAATTTTAGAAAACATCCAAGTTAGTAACGGAAAAAAATGGTTAATTTAGATGACGATTTAACGTTATTTCTAAAGTTTCTTTAAAAAATATATCAAATATTAAATTTTTAATCCTATAATTGAAATTCAGTCAAGTAAAACAAAAAAAAATACGTCATTTTAACGTATCCATGTTACGTTGCAATCGGTTACATTTACATGAATTAACGTTGAAATTTGGTTGGTTTTGACTACAATTTTTGACGTATCGCAATTTTATGTTCACGACAGGTTAGAATATCGTTAAATTTTAGTCTTTTTTTACTTTGACGTATCTTTTTAATCTTGAACGTCATTGTTGATTTATAACGTGGTTGCAGCGTTGAAAACACGTATTCTGAATAGTAATCTTAGCGACTCGATGTGTCAGGAAGCTGCCTATTCATTTGGTATTTAATAATTTAAGAAAACATCGAAGTTAGTAATGGTGAAAACTGGTTAAATTTAGACGGCGATTTAACGTTATTTCTAGAATAAAAAAAAATATATATGAATTGTCAAATTTATACTCCAAAGATTGAAATGCGGTCAACTTAAAAAAAAAGCGATTAACGTTGAAATTTTGTTATTTTTGACTACAATGGCTGTAAGAATTTCATTACTAAAATATCAAGTGTCCAATTTATATTTCAACAACTAAAATTTGGTCAAGGTCGAAAAAAACTAACGTCATTTTAACGTTACATTGCAGTCAGTGTACACGTGGACGAATGAACGTCGAAATTTGGTTAGTTTTGACAATTTTTTAATTTGACGTAGTTTCTCAATTTCAGACATCATTTATTGTTGATTATAACGTTACTAAATAAAACGTTGAAAACACGTATTTTGAGCAAAAATCCTAATTGATTAGATGTATCCGACGAGGGATTTACAGATTCATCTACTATTCATCTGCTTTCAGAAAACCGATATAGTTTTAATCCAGGAACATTGAAAACTGGTTAATTTTTGACGAAGATTTAACGTCATTTCTTTATTAAAAGGTCAAGTGTTCAAAGTTGGTTAGTTTGACGACAATTTTACGTTATTTCAACAGTTTATTTTTGCCAATTCTTTGCCGAGTTCACTATTTTTATGCCATAAGCCTCCACTTAAAACGTCCATTTAACGTTTAAAACACGTCGAGTTTTTCACATTTAAAGCTAAAAAAAATTAAGTGGTGTAATCGGTTTTAGGTAACGACGAAAACTTTCTCTATCGATTATGGTTAATCAATTAAGCATTAACCAGGTAGCAGTTAATTTTTAGTTTTGAAAAATGTACGTTGTTCAAGTTCAAGCACTAAAAAAGCGAAAAAATGCGTCCGATAATGTACTAATTGGCGCAACACATAATTAAGTAATAAAAACATAATAACACCGGCTAAAAAAGCTAGAGCATTGAAAAAAATTCTTTAATAAATATCTCGAGCGGCTTATCTCCTCCGTAATGAAATAATGAAACTCGCCACAAATGCACGTTTTATTTTTGTGACAGGAAGTCGAACATTAGCTGTTTTTAAGCAACGGCCTTTGGCAGATGATGCTTCACAAGTGTGCAACAATGATAAAAAATGTCTTTTTACGCACCGAAAAAACCGGCACAAAAAAGTCGCTATTTTATTACCGTCATAACCGAGTGCGCGTTTGTTTTTACAGGGGTTCAACATAAAAAAAGAACTATCATCCATTCATTACTCCGCAAAAACAGGGTGCGCTAAATTTAGCGACTTTTTTTCTACGCCCGCACCTTTGTAGTGCTCCACTGTGCGTAAATACGTCAAGTTCGAGATTACAAGTCGGAAATGACACGAAAAGGTCGATCCCGGAAAAGCCCGAAATAATCATCGATCGCACTAATTTTATTTTATAAATTCGTGATGGACTCATTTCCGTGCACATCTCTAACTAGGACGTCGATATCCCTTAAATAAATAACGTTTACGCAAACGTAACAAGCGTTCCGCTCCGTCACGCACGTAATTAATTTATTAACATAACGAAACGAGCGCCTAATGATCGTAAAGTGCGTTTACGCTTTCTATTGACGCACGGCCGTAGAAAAAGTGTCGCGACGCACTTACAAGCAACTTTTAATTTGGCGGGGTTGGAGAGCATCGATACGTTCTGGACCGAGGCCCTGCATCGGTATTCTCCGGTGAGGTTCTTGCTCTTCTTGCCGTCGCCGAGCTTGGGGAAGTACAGAGAGCCGTCTCTCTGCACGTGGCGTCTGCTGTCGTTGCTTTTGATTGGTTGATCATTGTGCAACCACGTGATTTGGAGACCGGGCGTCGGGGACTGGGCGTCGCAGCGCAGGGTGGCCGACTGTCCTCTGCTCACCGTCACATCCTGCGGGTCCTTCAGCTGGATCGAGAGAGGTACTTCGGGGACATCGACGGCTCCTGCAAACGCTGAAACAACGAAAAAATTCAAAATCACTCACAAAGTCGCTGAAAAATGCAGGACCTCGCGGACCCTTGCCTCGCTTTTAAAACGGATCGAAGAATCGCCTCGATATTGTTTGTTTTATACGTTACGCTTCCGCTAATTAGCATTAATAACAATTTCCGGCGTATTTGGAAGTGAACATAATTTGTCTGTTCATTAAGTAATTTTACATTTGTTTATGTTCCCGTAGTGGAATAAATTTTACATTCGCTTATTATCCATATTTTATCGTTAAATATGCGCACACTTCCTTGCAAATAAACAATTAAGCGTTTAAAGCGCGCTATTTTATTAAAACGGAATTAATATAATACCTACTCGGTGTTTACTTATTTGGGGCTCGCGGATACTCGTAAAGAACGCTGGGAAAACCAGACAATAGACCATAAAGATGGGCAACCTTTTGAACCATGTGGGCCAACTACAAATTTTTTAATGCGAGGTTCGATGGGTTTTCGATGGAGGTACATCGAGGAGGATGTGTCTAATCGCTGCTGATATAAAAGGCCAAATATGGGACGGCGGGGCGGCGGCGGCATTGTGTCATGGGCGGTTCCGGGTTTGTGGTCGTTGTGACCACAGAAAAAAAGTCTCGATTTAATTATTTCAAAATTAAAAATAAAAACATTTTCTATCTCACAAAAAATCTTTGGAAACTGTTCTCTCAAAACTTTTACCAACCTCGTTTTCATGTTTATTTTTAATTTTAAAGATTTTTTGTTTTTCTAGTATAAATTCAGTTACTCCAACATAAAACTTCGATCCTGAGAGAAATGAAATTTTAACAGTTGATTTATTAGAGCGAGGAAAATTTTCACCTGAGAGTAAAAATTAATCTATTGATTATTTTTGGAGAAAAATTGATTTATAAATAAAACATGTAACATTTTGAGAAAAAAATTTGAAATTTTTTTGCAAAATTTTCTTTTTTTTGTTGACGATGATTCTAATAACTTTCAGATAAACAAATTATCTTGATATAATTAAATTCAAAGAAAATATTTTTCTACCATTATTGGAAAAGCCTGGGAAACTTTATACGTGGAAAACCTCAAGTTTACTCAAAAAATATCTTAGGAAAACTTTTTTCAAAATTTTTACCAAATCCTGGTATCACGTCAAACGAGAGTCGAGAAAAAATATTTATCGATGATGATTTTTTTATAGAAAAATAAGGATTTTGCAATTAAGCTCCGCCCCCGGCTCACGACCAATAAAAAACTCGTCACAATTAAAATGTGGGCGGGTGGGTGGGGTTTATATTTTGCCTACTTTTCTCAATATACGTAGTTTTCTTCTCACAAACAAATGAAAATGAAACATGTCATTGGTAAATTTATAGACAAGTGTGGGAGGAGAAAATTTACTATTTTAAAGATGTTTTCAGTCCTTGTCGTGAAAAGAAAACTACGTATATTAAGAAAAATACAGGCAAAATATAAACCCCGCCCACCCGCCCTCATCTCATTTCTTATCATTTTTTCGTATTCATCGTGAGCCGGGGGGCGGGGCTTAATGGCAAAATCTATTTTTTTAAGCAAGAAATTACCATGTGAAAGATGTCCTTAAGTAAATCGTTGTAAATTCATTACAACTGGGATTCGGGCGGGTGGGAGGGGCTTAATTTTTGTTCTGTTTTTTTCTCTTAATATCTGCAGATTTAATTAAGAAACAAAGAAAATATAAACCCCGCCCACCCGCCCAATTTAAATTGTGGTGATTTTTTATTGGCCGTGAGTCCGGGGGCGGAGCTTAATTGCAAAATCCTGATTTTCGTATTTTTTTGTCATAAGGATTAAAAATTTATCTATTTTCGGGAATTTATTGCAAACTTTGGACATAAAAAAAATCCTAAATTTTCTTACAAAAAAATCGTTATTTCAAAATTTTTTCAAACCCTCGTTTTCACATTTATTAAAATTTAAAATATGAAAAATTGCCATATATTTTTTTGTTTTTCCAATATAATATCAACAATTTCTATCACAACACAAAACTTCGACCTTGAGAAAACTGAAACTGTTAATATTTTAAATTGACGAACATTTTTGGGCTTCTATTAAAAAAATTAAAAAAGCGCTTTATGAAGATTTTTTTCTTTCAAAAAATTTGTAACACTATCAATTTCCAAAAACGTCTTAATTAGATTTTTGAAATTTTGAAAAATTAAAATTCACGAAAAACATTTTTTTTTTTGTTGATTTTTATAACTTTCATCCAAACATATTAATCTTGAGATAATTAAATTTGTTAGATTTTTAAACTGATGACAATTTTCACTCAGGATTAAAAAATCGATGTTTCTACCATTTTTGGAAAACCCTGGAAAACTTTGTCGTGAAAAACCTCAAATTTTCCCAAAAAATATCTTGAGAGAATTTTTCAAAATTTTTACCAAATCCTAGTAAATCAAAAAAATAATATCTCAGTTCTAGTGAATTTTTCATTCGATGTAAGACCAAGGGGCGGAGCATAATTGCAAAACCCATATTTCCCAGAAAATTTACCTACCATTTGAACATGTTTGAAGATTTTTGTTGTCAAAAAAAGAATCACAAGGTAACTGCTTGTAGAGAAACGAAAATTTTGCAGTTAAACTCCGCCCCCCGGCCAACGACGAATAAAAAAAATCATCACAATTGAGATAGGGTGGGTGGGTGGGGCTTATATTTTACCTTATTCTTCTATCAACTTACGTTTTTTACTTTTGACAACAAGAAACTTAAAATATTAAGTATACTATTGTTATAAGTATAAATACATAAATTAACCCCGCCCACCCACCCCGATCTCAATTGTGATACATTTTTCATTCGTTGTCAGACAGAGGAGCAGAGGATAATTGCAAAATCCATATTTCCGTCAAGACTCCAAATTAACGAAAATTTCAGCTTCGATTAAGAATTGATCTAATAATATTTTTTGGAAAATTTTTGACGAGGAACCCAAATCCGATCCCGTTGAATTTTTTATAACACTTTTTGGAATTTTGAAAAAAAATCACTCGAGATTGAAAATATACTTTCTCTCATTTTTGGAAAATTCTTGACAACTTAAGACATAAAAAACCTATAATTAAAAAAAGGCCGCCTTCCTTTTCAAAATTTTGAGGGATTTGTTAATCGTTAGTTTTCGGCTTCTATTAAAAATTGATCTAATACTTTTCGAAAATTTTTCACACTTCGACTTAAAACATTTAACATCTTTAAAAAAGCGCTTTATGAAGATTTTTTCTTTCAAAAAATTTGTAACACTATTAATTTCCAAAAACGTCTTAATTAGACTTGTTTGATTTTTGAAGATTTTTCGAAATTTTGAAAAATTAAAATTCACGAAAAACATTTTTTTTGTTGATTATAATAACTTCCATCCAAACATAAATTATCTTGAGATAATTAAAATAGTTAGGTTTTTAAACTGATGACAATTTTCATTCAGGATTAAAAAATCGATGTTTCCACCATTTTTGGAAAACCCTGGAAAACTTTGTCGTGAAAAACCTCAAATTTTCACAAAAAATATCTTGGGAGACTGTTTCAAAATTTTTACCAAATCCTGGTAAATAAAAAAATAAGCCCCACCCACCTACCCCTATCTCAATTGTGGTGAATTTTTCATTCGTTGTAAGACCAAGGGGCGGAGCATAATTACAAAATCCACATTTCCATCAAAATTTACCTACCATTTGAACATGTTTGAAGATTTTTGTTGTCAACAGAAGAATTACAAGATAACTGCTTGTAGAGAAGGGAAAATTTTGCAGTTAAGCTCCGCCCCCCGGTCCAACGACGAATAAAAAAAATCATCACAATTGAGATAGGGTGGGTGGGTGGGGCTTATATTTTACCCTTTTCTTCTATTAACTTACGTTTTTTTCTTTTGTCAACAAGAAACTTAAAATATTAAGTAGTTATATTGTTATAAGTACAAATATATAAATTAACCCCGCCCACCCACCCCGATCTCAATTGTGATAAATTTTTCATTCGTTGTCAGACAGAGGGGCAGATGATAATTGCAAAATCCATATTTCCGTCAAGACTCCAAATTAACGAAAATTTCAGCTTCGATTAAAAATTGATCTGATAATAATTTTTGGAAAATTTTTGACGACGAACCCAAATCCGATCCCGTTGAATTTTTTATAACGATTTTTGGGATTAAAAAAAAAATCATTCGAGATTGAAAATATATTTTCTATGATTTTTGGAAAATTCTTGACAACTAAAGACATAAAAAAACTATAATTGAAAAGAGGCCGATTTCCTTTTCAATATTTTGAGGGATTTGTTAATCGTTAGTTTTCGGCTTCTATTGAAAATTGATCTAATATTTTTCGAAAATGTTTACACTTCTACGTAAAACTTTTAACATCTTTAAAAAACCGCTTTATGAAGAATTTTTTCTTTAAAAAAATTTGTAACACTATTAATTTCCAAAAACGTCTTAATTAGACTTGTTGGATTTTTGAAGATTTTTTGAAAATTCATGAACATTTTTTTTGTTGATTTTAATAACTTTCATCCAAACATAAATTATCTCGAGATAATTAAAATAGCTAGGTTTTTAAACTGATGACAATTTTCATTCAGGATTAAAAAATCGATGTTTCCACCATTTTTGGAAAACCCTGGAAAACTTTGTCGTGAAAAACCCCAAATTTTCTCAAAAAATATCTTGGGAGACTGTTTCAAAATTTTTACCAAATTCTGGTAAATAAAAAAATAAGCCCCGCCCGCCCACCCCATCTCAATTGTGGTGAATTTTTCATTGGATGTAAGGCCAAGGGGCGGAGCATAATTGCAAAATCCATATTTTCCACAAAATTTACCTACCATTTGAACATGTTTGAAGATTTTTGTTGTCAAAAGAAGAATTACAAGATAACTGCTTGTAGAGAAGGGAAAATTTTGCAGTTAAGCTCCGCCCCCCGGGCCAACGACGAATAAAAAAAATCATCACA